GATTTAAGATCTAAAAGCTTTATATAATTAGTAATTATATTAGCAGTAGCCTGGCTGTTAATAAACAATCTCTATTACTTAGTAATAGGCTGACAGATATGAGTATTAATAAATAATAATAATAGGATTTATATTATATTTTTATATAAATATAAATCTAATACTATTTATAATGAATAGAGTTTATCAATGATATTAAAAATATAAATTATTATAAGAAACTCTCAAAAAGACTAGAAATATAACTAAGTATTATGATAAGTATTATATTAAAAAAACCTTCTATATTAATAATAAAGTTATATTATAAATAAAGATTATCTATATTATATATTAGGTCTCTTTTTTGTTACTAAGATATAAAAAAGATAGTCTTATAAACTCGAGCTTTTATTAAGTTATTATAGACTTTACCTAATTTTTTATATCTTATTATTAAAACCTGATTATATCTAATCTAAATAATAAACTTATTTACCTGTAAATTCTCTTAATAAAGAAAAGAAATAAATAATTAATAGTATTCTTAGTAAAAAGTATACTAGAAATAATAAGATTCTATATTTAATGTAATAAAAGAACTTTCTAATAGAAGAAGATATATAAAAATCTATTAAAAATCTATAGATATAAAAATACTTAATATATAATTATATGTAAGAAAATACCAAATACTTATAATAGCTGCGATATTCATCTTAATTGTTAAAAAGAATTAAAAAATATGAAAATAAAAGGAAAGAAAAAACTATAAAAAAAAAAGTATAATCTTAATAAAAATCTCTAGTATTTAATTATCTTAAAATTAGTATCTAAATTATTATATCTTTTATAAGAAAATTATCTAAATAATATTATTAGAATTCTAAAAAATTATTAGAATATTGAATAATATGAAATTACTAACTTAATCAGAAGTATAAGAGTAAAAAACTACTTAAAAGTAATTTTTATAATTTTTATACTTATATATAAAATATAAGATTTCTGAAAGTAATAATAAAGTATTTTTATTACTCTTATAATAACTACTAGTATCTAATAATATTAGACTAATTATTATAAAATAATATAAAATAATGAATATAACTTTATGAATTACTTGAAAAATCTTAATAATAAGATTATAATACTTCTCTTAAATCTATACTATAGTTTATTAATCTTATTTAATTAAAAAAAATTTACTATTTGTGCTGGATTGGGGCAGATCAGTTTCTATATTTTCAAACTAATTTGACTAAAATTACTTGAATAATAACTTAATTATTAATAAAAATAATTACGTATTAATAGAGCAGTTCAACTAGTGTTGGACTGGGTTGGTTTGAGTTGGATTAGTTCCCCAATGGATTGGTTTATTGGATTGGTTTTTATAGAAACCAATCTGACCTAATCTAACTATATAGAGATGGACTGGGTTGGTTTAGGTTAGATCAGTGCCCCAATGGATCAGTTTATTGGGTCAGATTTTATGAAAACCAATCCGACCTAATCCAACACTAAGGAGAATAGATTTGTAATAAGAACTTTAGAAATATAAGTATTTAAAATAAGAATAAGAATAACAATATGCCACAGAAACCTCACAGGATCAACACCCTATAAAGACAGCACAGCCAGGCAGAAGTCTAATATTTATTAACTAATAATAAGGTCAGGATTCCTATATTATAGAATATTATATTATATAATTATCTACTTCTAATATATCTTAAGAAGTAGTTATAAAGTAGTTATAAAAAAAAATCTATAATTAGTCTATTTTAAATAGTGTTGGACTAGATTAGTTTGAGTTGGATTAGTGCCCTAATGGATTAGTTTATTAGATTAGTTTTTCTTAGAATTTTAGTTGGATTAGTTTTAAAATATAGAAACTAATCCATCCTAATCTAACTATATAGATAGACTAGATTAGTTTTTCTTAGAATTTTAGTTGGATTAGTTTTAAAATATAGAAACTAATCCATCCTAATCTAACTATATAGATAGACTAGATTAGTTTAGATTAGTTTAATACCCTAACAGATCAGTTTATTAGATTAGTTTTCCCTAGAATTTCAGTCAGATCAGTTTGAAAATATAGAAACCAATCCACCCTAATCTAACACTAATTTTAAATATACTCTTAGATATAATTAAAGTATATAAGACTTAAGAATATATAAGAATACTTATTATAATATAATTTAATTCAATCAGTTATATTTAATAATAATTTCAAGTCTAAGTATATATTTAGTAGTGTTGGACTGTATTAGTTTGAGTTGGATCAGTGCCCTAATAGATTGGTTTATTATATTGGTTTTTATAGAAACTAGAGTGTCATTCAGAGCAGATTGGAGCGGATTCTCCCCGGGTAGAATCTAACTTATTACGGATTTGGATTCTGATCCTGGTATCTAAACCTACTTATGGATTTAGTATAGATTTTATAGTGAAACCCGCAGGATCCTAAAAATTAAAGATCTTTATTTAAAAAGGGCTATATAAGACTAAAGCTTAGCTAAAAGTAGACTAGTCTATCTAAGAATCTACTTAGTAAGCTGATTTATAAGTAAAAATTATAAAAATACTAACTTTAGAATACTTGTGTGAATATATATATATTAATATTAGTATTTAAACTGACATGCATGTTTTATATAAATTTATGTAATTTATATATATATTATATTTATATATATAATTAAATATATATAAAATTCATGCATTTCTTATATAGAATATATAAGAATACTATATAAATACTCTATATAAAGGGGTGAAATCAAGCTAATTCTATATTTTAGATTCTATAGACATGCAGATTAAGGATTCTAATCCTAACTTATCTTATTTAGATCTCTAAATTCACTATAGATTCTTACTCTCTATATCTGAATCTGCTGTGAATTCTGACCCCCCCTATCTGAATCCAACTTGTTGCGGATTCGGTGCGGATTAGATCGGTTTTTGCGGATTGGAGATGACACTCTAATAGAAACTGATCTACTCTAATCTAATTATATAGATAGACTAGGTCAGTTTAAGTTAGATTAGTACCCTAATAGATTAGTCTATTAGATTAGTTTTTATAGAAACTGATCCGACCTAATCTAACACTAATATTTAGTCTATTTTTACTTGTTTATACTTAATTAAGTATTAGATATATATCTCTAATATATCTTACTTCTCTTCTTACTTATTAATATCTTTAGTAGTGTTGGATTAGGGTGGATTAGTTTCTATATTTTCAAACCAATCCGACTGAAATTCTAGGAAAAACTAATCTAATAAACTGATCTATTAGGGCACTAATCTAACCTAAACTAATCTAGTCTATTTATATAGTTAGATTAAAGTGGATTAGTTTCTATATTTTAAAACTGATCCAACTGAAATTCTGGAGAAAACTAATCTAATAAACTAATTTGTTAGGGCACTGATCCAACTCAAACTAATCCAGTCCAACACTAATCTTTAGATTATTAGATTACTTATCAATTTATATAATTAGTATAGTCACTATATAAGATCCTAGATTTATCTAATTTATTATTAATAGCTGATAAAAAGATCACAGAGTATTCTTTATCTTGAATACTCTAAGTCACTAATACTAGTAAAATAGAAGTATCAAGGGATCCTAGGATCTTGACATGATAATAATAAGAGTCTTAAGAACTTGAGAAATGATAACTTTAATAATAATAATTTTACTAATAATTATATAAATTATACTCTAATAATAAGTAATCATAATAAGATAAAAAATAAATTATTTATAAGATTATATATAATTAACTTTATATTTTATAAAATTCTTAATTAATATAGAGTAAGTTTAAATTGTAATATCTTAAATAATATAGGAGAGCTAGTAAATTTAGATTATAATATTTTAACTAGTATAAGTAAGTCAAATTAGATTATAAGATAAATATTTAATAAATTATATCACAGGTTCTAAAAGAGAAAGTATAAAGTTATTTATAAGTAATTATAAAAGAAAAAAAGAATTAATTCGTTATAAAAAAATAGGAAGATAGTTAAAGAGAGAAAAAAAAAAAAACCTTAAACTTAAAAATTATATAAAACTTATAAAATAAAGCTCTTATTAACTCAATTATTATTTTATTTAATAATATTATAAATAATACTAGAACACTTTAATACTTATAATTATTTTTTTTAAAAAGAAAATCCAAAATAACTAGATATAAGCTTTTATATAGAATTATACAACTTATAATAAGAAAGTTTATATATCTTTCTTTTATATAAATCTATATAATAAAAAGATATATAAGATTCATATAATAAAATAAGAGTACTTATATAAAGCTCTAGAAACTAGAGTTACAAGAAAAAGAGATAATATTAGATAATAATCTTAAATAATCTATAATTCTATATATTAAGATCTATAAGTACTAGTGTTGGACTGGGTTGGTTTGAGTTGGATCGGTTCCCCAATGGATCGGTTTATCGGATTGGTTTTATAGAAACCGATCCGACCCAATCCAACTATATAGAGATGGACTGGGTCGGTTTGAGTTGGATCGGTTCCCCAATGGGTCGGTTTATCGGATTGGTTTTATAGAAACCGATCCGACCCAATCCAACACTAATAAGTACTAAGTTATTTAATATATTATAAGCTATATATATAAGTCTCTAGTTCTCTTATTCTTTTAAGAGTTAGTAATTAGTTCTAGTATATATACTCTCTCACTATTTTTCATATGATCTTCTATTACTACTTCTAGCATATTACCTAACCCTTGGTGCGGTGTCCCCAGACTACCGCATAACAAAAAGAAAGATATTCGTGTAGATACATACATGTGTTGAATGGTAATTAAGTAGGAATCAGGATAAAAAAGCCTTGATTTGGGTGAGTAATATGAAGAATCTAGTTTGTAATGAGAGATGTCTTTTGTGAAGCCGAGACTGTAACAGCCAAGAAATTCCATATTTCCCAAGATACTTTGTTGAATTTGGCTGCACCTGTTTGTTACCAGGGATCACCTGTTGTTTTTGCATGTATACACATGCTTCTTGTGTCAGATACCCAATATTCAATCAAATGAATCCCCTGGTGACTTTTACTTTTATCTCCTTCAATGAAACACCGGCAGCCTTATTGTGGTGTTTTGTCTATGAATTTCGAGATCGGAGATCAATGTTCCAATCCCGCCAACCAGCTAATCCCCTCTTTATCTGCACTCATTATACAACTGTGTTAACACACACCTGAGACCGTTTCTCGAACAGACGGTCTCAATCCAGTCCTCTCAAAACGGAACCTACACATACCATTTAATCTCGCCGCTACTACGCTCACACTTGCTTGTCGAAATGTCTCCCACAACCACAGGCTCTCTGCCCAGTAGTACCGATGCTGATGGTAATTCGGGCGACAATAACTCTAGTCCAACTAGTTCCCCTTTACTCTTTTTTGTTGCTCTTGGATTTGGTGTGGTATTTACAAACCTATGGTATGCTATATTCCATACATTCCTTTCTTCGGAAATCAAATTTACCCGCAACTGACATATTATCTCTCAGGATCATAGTCGGGGTTAAGTACTGCTTTCGGTATAATCAACGAAATCGCCAGTTGCGAAATGAAGAAACAGGGGAGCCTATAAACCTTGTGACAATGCCCCGAACCCACAGGAGACGGAGAGAAAAGAAGTTAATGAGTATGGACGAGGTGAATGAGCGATTTCCGCTTATGAAATATAAAGCCTGGAGGTCAACACGTGCAGACGAAGGCCTCCCTACTGCTGGTGGGATATCAGCGCCAACTACCCGGGCACACAGTTTGAAGGACGAGAACAAAGCTTTTACGATCGCTGCCGGCGGTGATTCACCTGTAGCTACCTCGACAGAAAAGGGCCAGCACTGTACCGTGCTACAGACGTCGGACAATGCCCAGAATGCCGAAGCGGGATTCAAGGAATTGGATAAATCCGAGCGACAAAACCATGCTGAAGGCAACCTATCCCGCGCCTGTCCTGATAACACCCCCATTAAGACGAATGCCGTCTCCGGAGACCCAGTCGCACATCAACGACAGGAATACAATTTTGTCGAAGACGTCGATGACATTGATAGTCAAATCCGAACTTCTCTGTCCGCTGAACTTTTGCCAAATCTCGGTGACTCGTGTGCCATCTGCCTTGATATGATTGAAGACGATGATGATATACGGGGGCTTACATGTGGACACGCATTCCACGCCTCCTGTGTTGATCCGTGGTTAACGAGCCGAAGGGCTTGCTGTCCATTATGCAAAGCTGATTATCATGTTCCCAAGCCCCGACCCGACCCATATGAACAGTCGGCGCTCGGGGATCGCATAGCCCGACACAGTGCAAACCGGATGCCTGTTCCAAGCCAACCTCAGGCCGTGTTTTTAGGGGGCCGCGTGAATTCATTTCGTGTCCCGGCAACGCGGAACCGAAGCACGCAGTCAGTGCCATCCCGGAACAGACCATGGCATGCAATAGACCGGCTTTGGCGGTTGCAGAATTCCCGGCCTCAACCCTCGACCACTGATCAATCCATAGTCACACCAGAGTCCCGTGAACAAGAGACGTTGAGGTCAAGGTTGGCGAATCTCCGCTTATTCAACCGTGGTGCTACTTTTTCGACCAGAAATCGCCCCTTGAGAGAGAGCCCGCAGCCCGCAGACCAGTTACGCCCAGAGGGCAACCGAACATCGAACCAGCGTGAAGCCACTTCTTTTGTTTGAATTCACTTTTGTCGATTCATACCAACAATTGTGTGGTATATCCTATTGTCATTGACTTAATTGTTTTACCAATCAACATCTGGAATGTTGATCAAGATCCTGACACACTTGCAAGTACCAGGCCGTCTTGTAAATATGAGCAGGTGATCTCTTTTTGATGTACTAATGACGACGAGAGCATGGAGTCACTACTCTTAGGTCTTTTTGTCTGTCATGCTGCAAACTACTAATCATGGACTCTTTGTCTTATTTGGCGTTGGTGTTGGTGACCCAATTAGCGTGATTTGAGTATTCAGCGGGAAAATCATTGTTTTGTAGGACTACTTATTACGTATATATATCTTTCAATTGAGCCGTTTTATAGAGGGTTGAAGTGGAAACTTGAAGTGTACATCTTCTCTATATCGTGGCTGTTGCCCATATGCTCAAAATATGTGATGTACACACATGCATCATTCAATTACAAAAAAGGAGTAGAAAAATCAACTCGCATCAGATCTGGAACTTCCAAACAACTTCCACGCAAGCAATGAAGGATACGCACACGCAATGCATTTCCGTCATTTCTTTAAACCCATGGTTCCAACGCCGGCACTGATGACACCCGGAAGTTCTTCCTGCCCCACATAATATAACATTCCCACTGCAGCCCCTGTTGCGGCAATCGCCATTATACTGATACCGGCAACCAGGAAAAACGGAGTGCTGATGTCCTTCTTCTGGCATGCAGAGCCGCCCCAACTAGATTTCTGTATGCTGCCGTCTTCTTTTCTAGTAATAGTTTCCCTGCACTTACATGTATAACAATCGCTTTTGGCGCCCCCGTTAACCGATCTTTCTTTGTTATGACAAGATCCATGGCCAGAGCATCCATGGGTTGCCTCAATGCAAGATGCCTCAGAAGTGAAACAGGAAGGAAAGGAGGTCGACAGCAGAGAGTCCTGATATTCAGATTTGACAAGGGACTCGAGGTTGTCATTTTTGGACAGAGTCCCATCCATGACAGTCCTAGGTATCTTCGTCCTGCGGGCCAGGTCTTCGGCATTGCTTGATTCTTGGAGAACAAGAGCAGTTACTTCTTTACCGTTGATCGTCAACTCGTGCAAACCATGGAGGAAGGCCTTTACTGCATCTGCAGCTCGCGAGCTAACATTATTGGGAGACTGCCAGGTTCAAATGTCAGATACGGTGTTTTGTCATTTAAAGTTCTGAAATATACCTCAAGTGATATTTTTACAATTGCTGTTAGCGTTTCCGTGTCAACCCAGGACTCGATACCCTTCACATGGTTTATGAGTTCCTTGTCAAATACACTTCGAACGGGCCCGTAAGAGGAATCCTTAGGGAGGCAGTCTCTGAAAGCCTAGAGTCACGTACGTTAGCGATTAGTGCATGAAGTACTAAATATGAAATTAGCAACAGTGTCCTTGCTTACCTGTGGTGCCCGGGACTCTGCTTTATTGCCGGTGTTCGTCACGCAGTGCTTTGCCTCGGCCAAACCGGACACACCTTGAGTATCGCCGTTGAGAGCACCATTGAGAGCACCATGAAGATTCTTCTCCAGAAAAGCCGTAGGGAGGTCGAGGATAGTTACTGCTCCCTCGTACCCATTTAGAACTGAGGAACCTTGAATTCAGGGTGATCAGTCATCTGTTTGTAATATCGTCGAATTCTGTAGCATACCGACTTCGGAGCTCAACCCTTCAATAACGAAGAAGCTCCTGTCTAAATTTTCGTCATCGCAAGACAAGCCGAAAAGTTGTTCCTGAGCTCCTCCAAGTCGATCAATGACCTTGAGTGTATCCGGATCAACATCTCCCAGGTTTGAAGCGACAGATGACTTCAGTCGATGGTCTAAGAGCTGTTGCGCCGCCGCACCTGATAATGCTGGAGCTCTCGGGGCATTCCATTGAAAATGTGGTTCGAAGGCGAGAATGGACGCTTCCCAGGCGCTGACTCCGCATGCGATTAATGCCCACAGGTTTAGTATTTTTGAGAGCTGCCGCATCGTGAGTTGTATGGATTGGTCAATAAACTAATGTCAGACAGAATGAGAATCACTTGTTGATTCTACTCTGATAACTTGAAGTCGAATTTGTTTCTGGAACGTTTATTTAGCCGGCAATAATGTATGAAGCATCTTGCTTGCAGTTCGCATATACGGTAGGCAGGTGCCGCCTTCGAGCATTCTGTACTATATAGTTATCCAACGCGGAAGGCGGTCAATTTGCTCCGTACTCTACCTAGGCACTCCCTACTTATACTAGTAGTTATTACCTCCGTGCTCTGCTCGTAGGTTCCAAGGTTGGCACCTCCCGCTATGCATGTGGCCCCGGAGTATCGCGCCACTCCCTGAATTGTAGATTATGCCCAGTGAATGAGAGGTAGAGAAACATCAAAATCTAACGTTTTATATGCTGGCTCGACCCTCCAAGTATTACTCAGAAAAATCTGTCTCCTAAATTGTACTTCTTGGTTTCAAAACTTTCTATTCTATTCCTTCTTTCTTTCTTTCTTTTTCTCAATTTACACAGAACAGACTTGAACCCATTAAAGTTTCCAAACAGGCATGTGTTGTTGATGACAAGCGCTCTTCCGCAGATGCAACCTCTCAAATGTTTCGAGTCAGACAAATATTCTCCCATCCAAGATTATTCTTTCGGATTAGCCCACCGGCTTCATTGAATTCGAGCACCCGCAATGTGCGCCATGTACAGTTTAAAAGACCACGGATCAGGTGAGCTTCGGTCCTGAGAACTTGCGATTGACGACACTGCTTAATACGATAGGATTGCAGAAGATTTATAACAACATGCTGTCTTTATGGAATGGCGTTCCATCTGTCGAGTTCATTCGTTCTTTCACAATTCGACAATGGTACGCGCAAGGCAGATGTACTAGAAGAGCCCGTTGCCTCTGGACGAGATAAGGACACACATGATCCTGATGAAAAAACGGACCTTGATCCGGTTTTCATTCCACTCGGGTTACCATATTTAAGGGAAGGCGAATTCTATGCAGTATCGGACCCTGAATGGAAACAGTTTGTGAAAATTTCCCAAGACCGCGAAAAGCTCAATTCTCTTCAAGGTACGTGTGACGGAAAAGCTTCTCTGGTTGGCACGAACTTACCCTCCGAATAGGAGAACTAGCATCACTTGTTTTATCTGATGCAGCACAATCCGCTTTACTTTCTCGTTTGTTAGGCGGGCCTCTCGAATTAACCGGGTCCTGGCTTGTGCACCACTTCCCATCTCGAGCACCACCTAAATATACCCGCATAGGGTATGTAATGAATTGACTTTTGTTGATTAGATCTCAGATCCTAGTTAACACTTCCCTAGGATACAGATTACTGACACAGCCATTGCGTTGGTCTCTAAATACATGGCGTTCGAAGAAGGTGATCGACTTAAAAGATGCATATGGCCCCTTCCTGCTACTCTTGCAATCAAAGATGCATACTCGGTTTTATTCCAACGACAACTCTCCAAACTAAGTGCCACGAAGCTGGGCGAAGAACACCAAGTTTCAAGCTCAAATTTCCCGTCTTATACAACTATGCTATCATCTGACCCAAAGGCCGCGGATGATTCAAGTCAAGTACCTCCTCATCACTCTCGTATATCGAATTCTGGAGAAAGTGCAAACCGAAGCAACGACGACTACCATGACTACCCTTTCTCTGTCATTTCCACGTTGAAAAAGCTTCTACTGCAGTTTGGCCCTGGTTCGGATCTTTACACAGCATCATTGGCCTTCAAGTTTCGATTCAACGATTGTTTGTCTCGGGAGCGACACTCTTCTCCCCGTGGTGTGTTTTATTTCGCCGGGCCAGTTGGTCTCAAAGGGCCTAAGGGATTCTGTAGGATTGAGGTTAAAGGCGAATATGACCCAGCAGCTGCTAAATGGGCCATCGTTTCAATGCAGTTGAAGGATCTGAGTGTTTTCAACCAGAGTGCACTCGGGGGGCATTAGCCAAGGACCACGGCCAGCTTTGCAATATAGTGATGCGGTTGGGCAGTCAATGCATACATCATCAGCCGGCAACGTGTGCAAATACCCGCGGGTCGCTACCTACTAAGTTCTTAGTACTGGATGAGATTAGATGATTGCCTGGCTTCCGACCAAATCGATTGTAGATGATCAGTTGCTTCCACTTTCTCTTGAGTAACCTTAACTTGTTTCGTTGAATTTAACGGGAGCCCTGATAAGTTTGACACTGTGTTGAAATGAGACCTCCCAACTCAATGAGCAGAGCCTCAAACTAGTCACATTTGTAATCTCCATTAGTGTAACTAACACACATCCCGCAGCGCCCAGTATTACATCATAACCCTGTAGCATTGAATGACACCCGGTTGTCACCCCGCTTCTTTCATTTGCAAAGGAGCCCAGCCTTTTGACATACAGGAGCTCTTAACAGTTGTGCTATCTCTATATCTGTCGTCTGCCTCCAGGTTCTCGCCAGGGTTATTCACAGTGTTGCCTTTCTTACATAATGGCACTTCAGCCCAAATTTGCCGGGCAGCTGTTGGCTGCTCCCGTGAAACAACCCCCCCACACGCTTGAGTTCTGTAAGTATTTGCACCTACTTGGCCCAAAAACCTGGGGTTGCATACCTGGTGACTGAATACTGACTTGCCCCATTGCAGACCTCGACTACGTTTGCCCGGTGTGTTTAGAATTTGTCACTTGGACTTCCTTTTCCCGCACGCACTGATATATCATGTCTCACTTAGTTCTCCGCGAAATTCTTCAATACGTTTTATACTTCAGTAAAACCACTTATTGAAAGGAAATATTCATTGAAACTTCGTGTCATTTTTCGCCAGCATATTCAGCCGTGGCATCCATCATCGACGTTGACACATGAAGCCGGTGCAGCTGTTCTAAAAGCGGCGCCTGAAAAGTTTTGGGAATTCAGCGCCGCCCTTTTCGAGCACCAGAAAGAGTTTTTCGATATTAGCGTTGTTAATGAAACACGCAACAAGACATATGAAAGACTGGCGAAGATTGCAGCACGTGTGGGCGTTAGTGAGAATGAGGTGTTGAAGCTGTTGGTTGTCAATGAGGAAGCCAGCCACGATGGAGAACTGAACACTGGCAACAAAGTCACCAATGATATCAAGCTAATGGTCAAGGTGGGTATTCAAAGATTTTGTCACTTCCGATGATTGATGCAATCTAACAGGGAACAAATACAGTCAAATCGTGTGATAGGAGTCCATGTTTCTCCAACCGTATATTTCAACGTATGAGACATCCGAACAATACGACGCAATCATCCCAGTTCGCTGACTTAACAAACCCAGGGGATCGAAGAGCCAAATATCAGCAGTAGTTTTGCAACGGGCCAATGGGAGGAATGGTTGGCCAAGAACATAATTTGAGGTTCCCTTTGATTGTAAGATCTTCGTGACAGGAACAGATGTTGGAAAAAGCATTTGATGGTGATGGTGGCTGTGGTTTTGTTTCTTCCTTGCCGATAAGAACTGGGCCGTACTTATTGAACTGCACAGCGGGGCACCTAATCTCTTGAATAGTCTTAGCCATGCAAGAGATGTACCTGCTGTCGAATCTCAACTGTTTCATTCATCCCCACGTTACAAAAGTGCCGGCAATAGGCAATTATTCCAGGGGCGAGGTTGAAAGATTACTGTGACAGAGGGGGTTGGTAATTCAAAGGACGCCTGGAAGTTTTAGCGGGTGTTATCAAGTCATCATATGGAGCAAAGGACCTACTTGAAAAGAAGGATGTGAGGCTCTGGTTCGTGCACTTCGTAATGTTCCCAACCCAAGCTCTATGATTAAAGATTAAAGACAGTCTTCAACGAGCGGGCGCATGTTGTAAATATGTACCTGTGTGATGCCAAGCGCCCGCCACTCTTCTTCCCAAAGCAACTTCAAGGTTCCTTTCGCGCTGTCGAAGTAATCGGCGGGGATTTTCTTCAGCATATTTTTAGGTAGTTGAACATGTCGATATTCGTACGCATCGTCGGAATATCTAGGTGTGTTCGTCAGCTCCTTCTTCCGTGACATATACAGACAGACAAATACCTCGCGGAGTAGTGAATGGAATCAATGAATTCCTCGAGTCTCTCTCGCTCGCTTTCTAGCAGAAGGCGTGGCTTCTTATTTCTTCTGCTCATGTCGATGTCCATCTGGAGGAGGGGGGAGGGGAAGCGTCCGCAAAAACACAAATATTACTTGGAGGCGCCTTCCGTTTTGGATAACAGATTAGCCACAGCCCCTCAAACCTCAAAGGGTGGGAAGCAGGAGTAACAAGACGGAGCGCGAAATGTTTATGACCGGAGAACATAGAGGCCAGGGTTTATCAAGCAAATAAAGTGGAGTGGGGACAAGAAAATACTCACGAGAAAAGTTCTTTGTGCTGGACTATCAAGTTGTGAGAACTGAATAGAGAGGAGGAGTATATCGTGGACAATGGTCTTTAACGGATTGGTATGTTGTCCAGCAGTGAAAACAATGGCCGAATAATCTTCCAAGAATATCCCAATGACTGTTGCTTTGGTACCCGAGGTGTACTCCGTAGTTGTTTGATCAATAATTATGGTACGGAGACTGTTGTAATTTACCCGCATGGGTGATGCCTCAGGCTACCAAACATGCTCTATCGGAGAACCCGGCAAATTCTGCTGCTATCGATTTGGCTCGATTTTAATCAATCAAATCCAAGCCGAAACGCAAACTGGATAACAAGATCATTGATCCATACGCACATCATGTTATCTACAGCTTGCAACCATCAAATTCAAATCATGCAGTTCAAGTATGTAAGGCCGATGGAAGAGGATATAAATACTGACATACATAAATAAATATATATGACATGGTATTCTTACTACTTTCCTTACTACCTGAGATGTCATGATTTGAGTACAGTGAAAATAAGACTGTCATGTGGGACTCAAGTCACTCATGATGGAGATTCTACTCTGTAAGCATGCAACATGGTCGATGACTCAATAATCAAGGAATCATGCTTCTTCCAATCCGACACCACATCTGCATATATTATAGATTTTTTCAAGTCTAATGTAATAGATTGATGAGTTATAAAGGCAACACCCAAGAGAAGAATAATATATACAGAGTACATAATATATGGATGTATACCTGTACAATTCCGCGGAAGAATATGTAGATTGGTGACTAATCATAATCAAAAAGACACAATCTATCACGTGATGCATAAGGTGTTTGTTGAATTTGCCTCCTACCGAGGAGCAAGAAAGTTTGGTTAAAAAAAAAAAAAAAAAAAGAAAAAAAATTTTTTCCCTTAAAAAGTGAGATGAGCGAGGGGAGGAAAAGTGGGCTGTCTCGGGGCTTTTTTTTTTCCTTACTCTTCCCTCCACTGCAGACCTCTAAAATTTTAACCACTCCCACCTCGGCGCTGGAGTGATTTTAGATTTTCTGTTCTTCCTAAATTTCCATTCAACCCATTTTTCTTTTCACTTTTTTTTGAATCCCTAGGACCTTAATACAGTCTTTTGTGATCTATTACCATGTCTGACGAAGTCTACGAAGGTGCCGTTGGCATCGATCTTGGTGGGTTGTCACCATTGTACTATCTGATGGGACAGGTACTTACCTAGTGTTTGCAGGCACGACCTACTCTTGTGTTGCCAACTATGAGGGCACCAATGTGGAAATCAGTAAGTCCACATAATTATCCTGGTATCAGGCAATTATTTTCTAACCAGCATCGATGTAGTCGCCAACGAGCAGGGTAGCTATACCACCCCATCGTTCGTCTCCTTCACCGACAAGGAGCGTTTGATTGGCGAGGCCGCGAAGAACCAGGCTGCCATGAACCCGAGGAACACTGTCTTCGATATCAAGTAAGAAATTTTCTACCCTTGTTGCGCGCTCAAGAGATTAGAACATTGGTTCTAATTTTTCTAGGCGTCTTATCGGTCGGAGATACGAGGACCCCATTGTCAAGAAGGATGTTGAATCTTGGCCTTTCAAGGTTATCGACCAGGGTGGAAACCCCATCGTCGAGGTTGACTACCTTGGTGAGACCAAGACTTTCTCTCCTCAGGAAATCTCTTCCATGGTGTTGATGAAGGTAATTCAGACCAGAGTTCGAAATCGAAAAAAAAGAAACTAATCCAACTACATCAATAGATGAAGGAGGTCGCGGAGACCAAGTTGGGCAAGAAGGTCGAGAAGGCGGTCATCACTGTCCCGGCTTACTTCAATGACAACCAGCGTCAGGCTACCAAGGATGCTGGTGCCATTGCCGGCCTCAATGTTCTCCGTATCATTAACGAGCCCACTGCCGCCGCCATTGCCTATGGTCTTGGCTCTGGAAAGTCTGACAAGGAGCGCAATGTCTTGATCTATGATCTTGGTGGTGGTACTTTTGATGTCTCTCTCCTCAACATCCAAGGCGGTGTTTTCACCGTCAAGGCCACTGCTGGTGACACCCATCTTGGTGGTCAGGACTTTGATACCAACCTCCTTGACCACTTCAAGAAGGAGTTCCAGCGCAAGACTGGAAAGGACCTCTCCGGTGATCCCAGGGCTTTGCGCCGCCTGAGAACCGCCTGTGAGCGTGCCAAGCGTACTCTGTCCAACGCCACTCAGACCACTGTCGAGATTGATTCTTTGTTTGATGGCGAGGATTTCAACTCCTCTCTTACTCGTGCTCGTTTCGAGGACCTCAACGCCAAGAGCTTCTCTGGTACTCTGGACCCTGTGCAGCAGGTCCTGAAGGACTCCGGTCTCGAGAAGAAGCAGGTTGATGAGATCGTGCTTGTCGGTGGTTCCACCCGTATCCCTCGCATCCAAAAGCTCCTGAGCGATTTCTTCGATGGAAAGAAGCTGGAAAAGGTAAGCAGTTCCTGTGCATGATTAGAAGAACGCATCTAATGATTTTTTCTTCAGAGCATCAACCCCGATGAGGCCGTTGCCTACGGTGCCGCTGTTCAGGCTGGTATCCTTTCGGGCAAGGCTACTTCTGCTGAGACTCAAGATCTGTTGCTGCTCGATGTCGTTCCTCTCTCTCTTGGTGTTGCCATGGAAGGCAACATCTTTGCCCCCGTGGTTGCGCGTGGCCAGACTGTTCCCACCATCAAGAAGCGCACTTTCACTACTGTTGTGGACAACCAGACCACCGTCCAGTTCCCTGTTTTCCAGGGTGAGCGTACCAACTGCGCTGACAACACCTCTCTTGGAGAGTTCACTCTGGCGCCCATTCCTCCTATGAGGGCTGGTGAAGCTGCTCTTGAGTGTGTTTTCGAGGTTGACGTGAACGGTATCCTCAAGGTCACTGCGACGGAGAAGTCCTCTGGCCGCACTGCCAACATCACCATCTCGAATGCAGTTGGTAAACTTTCCACTGGCGAGATCGAGCAGATGATTGATGGTAAGTGAAGCTTGCTCTCTAGTTTCACGCAGCACGTAACTAACAAATCCTAGACGCTGCCAAGTTCAAGTCCAGTGACGAGGCTTTCACCAAGAAGTTCGAATCTCGTCAACAGCTCGAGTCTTACATCTCTCGTGTCGAGGAGATCGTTTCCGACCCCGGAATGTCGATGAAGCTGAAGCGGGGCAACAAGGAGAAGATCGAGTCTGCCCTTAGCGATGCCATGGCGCAGCTCGAGGTTGAGGAGTCCTCTCCCGAGGATCTCAAGAAGAAGGAGCTCGCTCTTAAGCGACTCATCACGAAGGCCATGGCTACTCGGTAAAGCTGTACAGTCAGTGCTAAGACCGTACCGCAACTGAAGCCGCCCAAAGGCCTTCGTTTATTACATGACGATATTACGGAAAGGGGCTATTTTGTTTGTTTCTGCTCCTTTTTCTTTTTTCTGAAACTGGGTCTTCGTCCACACATTGGCTTTTACATCAGGAGCGCATTTTTTATGATTGGGCAGAGACTTTTCAAAAGTATTCTTAGATTTGAAAATTTTGGTTCATTTTAAGACTTACACAAGGACATCTACTCAACCGTAAATTCGTCCTCTTAAACCCCGTACTTTAGAAAATATAAATAAGCAATTGATGACCGGAGCTAGAGTATGATCGATCAGCGGAAGCCATTCTTTGGCTTCTCAATTCGGGTCGATTTCGGTCGGTGTTCTCTAAACACTTGTCAGAGTGTTCGGTGCCTGCTGCGTGCCATTACTACGTGGTTGCTACCTAGCTGTCAATTACCCTTTAACCGCAACTCGTGCGTCACCTCCCACAACAGCCGGCAAACCTAGGAAACAGTCTATACAACCATTGTTATAAGTGTTCACCGTGCTCTGAAAATGGCTTATTTTGGCCGTGTACGACTCCTATTGTTATCAGGAGCGCCCAAACTCAACTTACCAGTTCAATCTCCACGTCTTCTACCATGGCCCAGAAATACGCTTCAGGTCGGGAACAGGGGCTTCAGAAGCTCTCATATGCTGTATAAGAAGAAGGACAAAGCGAAAAAGCAGCCTGACGCGGGCCCGGCATCACCTTCAGGTCCCCCACCATCTTCTGAAGACCCTTATGATCTCTCAAAGTTGCAGGATGGCATCTCGACTGCTCTTTCGCAGTTGAAAGACGACCTGGCCAAGAATCGAGTAGGCGGACGGTTTAACACTGAATCGATTGAATCCCTTCGTGTCAAACCTCACAAAGGCTCCAAGGATTCCGTGAAGCTTGGAGAATTGGCACAGGTTGTTCCGAAAGGCGGACGCATGGTGACTGTGCTCGCTTCAGAAGAAGATGTCAGTATTCAAACACTCCATGCTTGACCTCTCCCCTGTTTACTGGTCTGGTTTCATGTCTCTTCATAATCTAAGCTTGATTTATATACATACAGCATGTTAAAGCGATCGCTTCGACAATTGTCTCCTCCAACCTGTCCCTGACTCCGCAGCCGGATGCGCACAATGCTCTTCAACTAAACATTCCGATCCCACCACCTACAAAGGAATCGCGCGATCATGCAATTGGTCTGGCGAAAGCGGCAATGGAAAAGGCAAATAGCTCGATTCGCGACTCTAGAGGTGCTCTCCATAAACGCCTCCAGGATATGCAGAAGAAGAAGCTTGCGAGGCCCGACGATGTTCGGAAAGCACACGAGCATATGGAGAAGTTAATAGAGAAGAGCCACAAAGACGTCAAAGATCTATTTGAAACTGCGAGGAAGGCGCTCGAGCGGGTATAAGCAATGGGGGAACTCAGAAGCTGCTGGCTGTGTTGAGATTGGAGATCTACATGTACACATAGTCGTTAGGTATAATTCATATTTTCTGCACCTTAATTACACAAATTTAGCTTAGCGACGGGTTGCTATGACCAAGAATACAGACGGAAAACAAGCACTATTGTACAATGTCACAGCACCGGCGCTAGGAACGCTTGACAGGACGGCCAGCAGCCAGAAGTGATTCCATCTTTTTCATGAACTGTGAACTCTTCCCCGCCATTTGGTATGTCTCATTGTTCTCGAGATTCTTGAGAATATCCCCAATGACAGGGGATTTGTCAGCCTGCTGAGTTGGTGCGCTGGGATACCTCCCCTGCACCAGAGACTGAAAGAGAGATTGCTGATCTTCCTTCCGTAGTGGATCGAAGCCGATTTCTTGAGATTCCACAACATCGCCTTTCCGCTGCGAGAACTTGTCGGCACGTTGTTGTGATAGCTTGTTGGCTACAGCCATAGCCTTCGTCCGTTCCTCTTCGCTTGCGAATTGAACATACTGGCCCATGAAAAGACGCTTTCCTAGCTCCTCTGGTTGCGTATAACCATTGGGCAAGCGATCACCCAGCTTGTATAGTTTCTCAGCGACCCCGGCAGCACGGGCGTTCGCATCAGTCGGGAAAGCCGGCCAGCTCTCCTTCAAGGCAGCATAGTCACACGCCCGAGGACTGTAACGAACGGGTACCGGCTTCCCCTTCTCGACAATGTCAACAAAGGCATTTTCGACTTCATCCTTTTGGGTGGTATCGCCTGCATCCGCCTCGGATGATTTCGGTCCACCGCGCACGAACTTCTTGTCCCTGAATCCAGACTTGCCGGGAGGCCTAGTAGGTTTTCCAGAACGGGGAGGGAAAGAATTGCGGTTCCCCCGAAACCTAGGATTGTGGAGGATAGCACCTGGTTGACGGCCGGCTTGGGGAGCCGCGAGGGATCTTGCGTCAACTACACGGCGGTATCGAGGTCGATCAAAAGTCGTGTTTTTCGGGTTCAAGTTCACCGGCGGTACGTTGGTCTTCCGACGGTCAGGGCGAGGTGAGGCACCGGAGGGAGAATGTTTCTTAGGGGTGACATTGGGATTACCTGCAAAATGTCAATATCCACGAAGGGATGCCGCGAGCAGGCGAGTAAATCAGAAGCAAAGAGTCGTCAAGCGGATACAAGTGGGTTATGCAGAAGTACTTACCCTTCGGGCTTGCGCCTTGATCTCCATGGCATTGGGTCTGAGAAAATGACCGAATAGGTGCCAAAATCTGCCCCGTAATTCTGGAACCAGCACCCTTGCGGGTTAACTGGATGGTTCGTGGATGGAACATTTTTTTCATGAGCCTTATTCGTTATGGCAAAGTTCACGAAGGCCGCGGGAGATGCCAAAAAGAATTCCATGGCCTCGGAGCCCCATCACGTGATCGTACATCGCCCTTTCGCGGAACGCGTCTTGAAAGTCTGCAAGCTAATCTATCTCCCTTGTCACCATTTCTACTACTCTCTTCCAGTCAGACAAATTATGCGAAGCAACGATGCTTCGCCGGAAACCCACAGCTATCGCGATAACGTCCGAAGACGTTGCAGCCTTTGAAGAAGCGCGACTCCGCCAACAGTCCGGAAAGAAGAGCGACCCGTCCGATGGCACAAGGAACTTCGCTACGAAGTTTGATCCGAGTGACGAATTGAAACCACTACCCGGGGATAAAGCGCGGATTGTTCGATCGCATGAGGAGCGGATAGGCATCCATAGACGCGGTTGAGTTCGTCAATTAGTCTTGTTACTATCTCATGCCGTTTTCCCCTTCTATACCTGAGATTCCACTTTCAGATCGGTCTTTTTACTCTGGGAGTTTGATTGTTCATGGGTTCCGAATCGCCATGATGACTTGTCTTCGTCCCTTTTACCAAATGTTATGGATAGGTGCACAATTAGGGCGGGATATGATCCCAGTGGAAAGCCTCCTGGTACCACCGTTCGCTATGAACCACGCATGTGGTGTGTCAAAAGAAATGTGTTGGAGTGGTTCCCGGCTTTAATATCACAATTTCACTGCTTGTCTTCTGACATGTTAACGCTATATATTGACGAATATCAAACGCCAAATGCCAAATCTTTGCCTTATGATGCCTTGGGCTACATCCTGTACTAGCAGATTCGGACGTGAACAAGAGCTGGGGCAAGAAATCAATATTTGTACTGAATAAATCTCTTACCGAAAAAAAGTAGGGTATAGATCATTTCCCATCGAAGCGAACACGCGATATATACAATCATTTGCCTAGTCTAATGTGGAACAATGAGGGTTGATTCAATCACATCCAACGATTGTCAAGTGTTGCATGATCAGAATCCGTGGCACATGATCCACGGATCTGATATTGAAGAGAGTAAGGGGGTATCTGGAAGGAAATAGATGAAGCAGGTGGACTAATGTCAGAGCATCAAGATCATGAACAGTGGCTGGAAACGACATCTATTTGGATATTTGCTGCTGATAATCCGCCCTATACCGACTAGGGGTCCATAGATGTAATGAACGAGCTTGTCAACGTTGCCGTTTGGCCGTGTGCCCTGCGTCCAGGTCGACGGAATGGTTCCACCGCCGTTTCAAACCATTAGGATCAAACACACTGGCAACATTCTGTTGCCAGTCTCGTGCTGTGAACACGACTTGCTGTGTGTTGAGGTGCTGTGTGGCAGGTGGGGTCAGTGCGGTAGGTGTAGGTTTTGCAGGTGTTCCGTATTGGGGATATTGAGGTGCTAAAGAGGTATGTACGCTCTGAACGGGGTGGTTGATAGGCATTGGGGGAGAATTTGAATTCAAAGGTGAAGGTCCCATGGAGAACGCCATATTCCATTGACTGTTTCGAATCAACATTAGTCTGTGACTGGAGCCTTGTCTGGAGGAAGTTTTCTTACTTGATGATGCGAGTAGGGTCCCAACTATTCTCGTCCACTAGAGGTGCATCCAACGAATGGCTCGGTACAGGGTGAGGCATTATGCCCACATGTTGGAGCTGAGAGGAATCGGACTTTAAATCTTCAGTGCCGGCTGAGATAGGAGGGGTAATCGGGTATGCAGTAAATCCCACTCCACTATGAGTACCGCTGGGAATAGGAACATGATTCAACCTAGAATCATAGTGTGAACCGAGTGGTGGACTTGGATGGTATTGTTCTGAAGGACTGCCATAAGGGAATGTCGATTTCAACTCAAAGGGGCGGCTGATATCGGCGGAGAACGCAAGTCGCAAAGAGTCGATTTGTGCCTGGATCTCTGGCATAGGCCAGGCGGATGAACATCGCTCAAGTATACGCATGTGCCGTGCAAAGTATTCACGGGCATCTGTATGGAAATTAGGGTCTGGCGATGTTATAGCAACCTGAGCAAAGAAATTAGTTACTGGGCCAAGAGTCCGAGAGCATCAGAAATACCAAATGTAGCATCGTGCAGGTTAAGACGCAGTAGATAGAAAAATTGATGCCCCTTTGCATGAAAAGTAGGCCAGATAACCCAAACCGTTCCAAGATAGCCTCCTGTAGTCGGCATAGATATTTTGCGGAAGAATAGCATACTGCCATGTGGGACTTTCCATCCCCCCCCGTTGCAAAGGATCTGGAGGCAAGTAACTGCGGCCGATGCAGCAGGATTATCCCCAGATGACAATGGGAGTGCATATTTCCTACGAAGTGAGACGGTATCCAGGGAGGCGAACCATCCGCAGGATAATTGACTTGCAAATCCGGAGGAAGATTCTGCAACCAGTCTGCGAAAACGGGGTTCTTCTCGACAAGTGTTGGATTAGCCCCCCAGTCCTTTTGACGCTTGATCTTGTGATATATGTCAGTTATTATGCGAATATGTCGGGCATTCTGAACGAAGTGAGCATAGTGCCGAGAGCGATCGACTTCGAACTGGTCTAGGCCCTTGATATTCAAGACCGGGCGCAATTCTACTGTGTCAAGATCAACTCCATAGTCCGACCGGCCTGTCAAAGTTAGAACAACTATATTATGCAATGAGACATGCATGACCTACCTTGCGGTGCACCGATCATTACTTCAACAACCAAGAGAACTTGCCATACTCTTATTTGGATCAAGCAATCCACTGCACTTGAACCGCAGAAAGCGTTGTCTTCATGCAAACCGCAATGTTCATGAATATCCAGGTCTTTAGCCATGGAGATGATGGTCTTCACAGTCTGCCACGACCGGTAATAATAGCCTCTTTTCGGTAACGACTCTCGCGCTTTCAACAACAAGAGCAATGCTTGAATTGTGCTCAAGCGAGGTACATCCATAAAGCTAGATTCATGCCCTAAAAAGTGAAATTGTTAGCGACTTGAGGATTTTGCATATGATTTGCACATTGAAGGAGCTGCCTCACTGTTCGCCAATGCAAGCCACTGTGCGCCTTGTGCCGGATCGTCTGACAATCGTCCCACGCAGGCAAACAGTGCCTCAAGAAGAAGAGGCGAGATGGAACCTCGGTCGTGTTGCCATTGATGATACAAGTGAGATCGGTGTACAACTGGTACATAGGGATGTATATCATCGAAATAGGTTTTGAAATACGCCATGACCTCATCGTCCGATGGCATGAGCTCTGGGGGGATCCGAATTGTAGAGCCAGCTCTGGTATTGAGAGGGGGTAGCGCTTCATCCCCTTCATCTTGCAACGGCACTTCCGGTTCGGCCCTTTCTTGTCTTTGCTGCCTGATGTATGGCGCTATCAAACGATCAATAATCTGATTTCACGTCTGGCCGAGGCTGTCATCATGATAGAACTCACCAATCCCGGTCTCGTCGATTTTCAACTCCCCAAGAACTTCGCTTAGACCTTCGGCAGTCGACTGTTCATCCTCACCAAACGAGGCCGTGTTGGGGATGAAGTCCTGCGTCTCGGTCGTAGAAAACATGGTTTGATCCTGAAAAGGATGACCTGGCATGGGTATTTGAGACGATTGCAGATCACAAATGCCAGGATGGTCAGGATTAGGCTGACCAAAATGTTGAAACATCCTGACCCCATCATTATAGGCAGCGATATCCCTTAATGCTGTCTGGTTACCATCGTTAAGATTTTGAGGAACTGGGAAGGAAGATAGCGAAGGCGCAGATGCACCAGTCATGCCCAAAGGGCTTACGCTGTCGGTATCAATGCTTTGGCCCGCCTCGAAGTCATTGTTCTGGCCAATGCTAGGAGGCACGCATACTAGTTTCAAACGAGTACATGCGGAGCAGGGCCATGTGTTTGTAGTTGCCGCATCGCATTTGATCTTGCGCTTTCTACAGCCATTGCAGGCTCGCATCACTAGTGGCGTATTTTAGCAAAATTCTAACAAAGCCCAACTGGACATGGCACGGAGGCGCTCACCCTTGAGCCTTTTGTGTCTGTTATGTTCATCCACGAATACATAATCTGAACGAAAACCAAAAGGGCATTAGCTGTCTACTCAAACCCACGTTTTTAGATCTTTCTCATGAAGGATATCTTACTTTTTTGACCTTCCCTTGGGAGACCCGTGGGGGGAGTAAAAGAGTAGCCCTGCATTCTGGCTTTAAGAGCACGGATGTTCAGGCAAAGGGACAATATTAAAGAGGATGTATGGCGCTATAAGACACGCGGGTCAAGATATATATCCCCAAGGCCTGCCTTGTTCGGGATATGTGAGAGGAAGGACGTGGCGCAAAGAGAACCCCTCTGTACTCCAATCGTCAATGAGACAGATGTAGAGTTTTCAGTATCGAAATAGAGGAGAATATATCTCCCTCGCGATGACGAGCTTGGTTGATGCCGAAGTCTTTCAAAACAGGGCCAATGCCGGCGTCGCTAAAGACCAAGGTGTATATGCCGGACGGGTGGAGGGTTGAATAAGGCGAACACGGTAAACAATAGAGGGCCTCCAAAGGACGATATAGGCACTGGACTGTGGCGAGAAGCGTTTAATCGTAATCCGTCATTCCGGCAATCTCTCTTCGGACCGATTACAGCAATTATTGGCCAAGATCGCAAGTATCGTAGGTTCAAATCGTCGAGGAAATCGAATATAGAAAGCGGGGCTTGCGGAACAGGAAGACAGTGTATCTAACACAGTAGAAAGTCAGTATAGATAGACAGTCTCTGGAGGGCTGTTGTCCTGTAGTCTTTGAAAGAATACGGTTTAACACGGACATCTGGCCAGCGGCACTGCGGAATGGATAGAGCCGAGGAAGATGCCCTACAAGCCGACCCCAGAATTCAAATAGAGACAAAGGGTGGGAAGGAAGTAGAGGCGCGAAAGAACGAGACAGGAAAATATAGTCTTACTATCTTGAGATATGGTGGAATGTGGAAAAGATACGACAGGGGACAGACAACAACCTTATGAGGCCTGCATCGTGGTATAAGGGAATTGGTGGATCGAGAACGTTTGGCGTAGAGAAAAGCGAGATGGATATTGTATCACAGAACCCAAACCCCCCATTTGCAAGAATCAATATCCCGATAGCATAGGATCCAACACGTGGGTGGTGGGCTGCAGAAGAATATATGTTACGCGCCCGGATTATGAGCGCATCCAGCTGATGAGGGGTGACGAGAGGAAGTTGGCAAGGGAGAAACCGGTATATTGGACAGTAGTTGATTTCGAAAGTAAATTGTTCTTTGTTCCTGATTTCTTCTTTTACGAGAAAAGAAAGAAAGTACAAGGAATGACAAAGAAAAGAGGAAGAACAGGAGGAGGAAGTGGGAGAAGGAAGAAGGGAAACAAGCTTAATGGAAGATACGAGGTGATTGACGGCATAGCGTTTTTGGGGATCAAGAGGCCCACCGATACAATGACGGATTTCGCATGTGGAAACGCAGGATCTCCATTTAGGCCCACGGGAGAGAACCGGCAACCCTATTAGCAGTGTGTCTTAGCCCAGGATCGCCTGGTCCCTGGTCTTCTTCTCTTGTGTCTCCGTCAATACAGTAGGAACAATACTCAGTGGGGGGTACACGGTGTAAATGAGATACAGGAAATGCCGCCGAATTATAAGTCCCTCAGCAGAACATTCAGTCGCTTGTCCAATCCACGATGATGGCTGGGTGCGCAAGAGAGTTCATTAATGTATCTAAAGTACTCGATACTACCCAACATTACTGGTAAATCATTATGCTAGCCTCCCCATCTCCTGGGGTTAAACAGCACACTGATCATTGACTAGTGACAATACACCTCGGATGTTGCCCGAGTGTGAATCCGGTTAACTTTCCATTAGAAGCCACACTCAAGACTAAAGAAAGTTGAACCAATTCTCAAAGATAGCCCACAAGAACGACAAGCAAATATTAGCATCTTAGTGCAGAGTATATGGTAGGTACCTATGTACAAACCATGTACAATACATATGTAGACCATCGTAATTGTATAGGAAGATATCCCAGGCAATGCATGAAGTGCAGAGAACCCGCAGCAGCACGGGGGTGATTCCCTCCGCATGGCATATTATTATTAAGTGGACGAACGGGTGGCCCCATTAATAATGATTTCGGAGTAATCATGTGGCGGTCGGCTAGGGTGGAGGGGAACATCATTGATCCCTCGATTGGTGATAAGAGGTCTCTGCATATCCAAGACCCCCGCCGCCACTATCGTCCGGCCGCGTTCAATGTGATTTCGCCATCCAAGTGTTGACCAACTTTCCGCACAATGACGACCGAAATACAGAATTCCAACCCGACCATCCTGAGCGATGCCGACCTTCCTACACGGTTGCGCCCGGCCGAAGCAGCCAAGTCTAGCGCCTATGGCAGTGGTCTTTTCGCCTCAACGCTGAACTTCCCCGGTGGTGACTCGGTTGATCCGGCTAGCCAGTACTTGTCCGCGGAGTCGGAAAGTGAAGGCGATGATCTACTGGAAGAGCCAATCGATGAACAAGAGATCTATGGTATGTGGCTTGCAGCCACCATCCAAATGAGACCAACCCAGAGAACAGATGCCTAACGTATACTTAGATCTCATCTCAACTATCTCCGACCCCGAACATCCGATCTCATTGGGAGCATTGGCAGTTGTGTCTCTGCCCGACATTTCAATTAAACCGACTCTTTCCAATGTACCGGACTCTCCTCTACGAACGGTCACGGTGCTTATCACACCAACAATCACGCACTGCAGCTTGGCTACGGTAATCGGCCTTGGTGTGCGTGTGCGCCTCGAACAATCTCTCCCGCCCCGGTTCCGGATGGATGTGCGAATCAAGGAAGGGACACACAGTACCGCCGATGAAGTCAACAAACAACTGGCCGACAAGGAGAGAGTCGCCGCTGCATTGGAGAACGGGACCTTGATGGGTGTTATCGCGAAGATGCTGGAAACTTGCCAATAAGAAGGAGTTTTACAGCGGGGGATGTTGTCATGAACCAAGGTCTAGACTACAGGAACCGGGTCGTTGAATAACAAGGACTACTGGATTGGAGTCTAATGGTTGCAGCTAAAATAAAAAACGCCGCCTTGTCATATTGTACCAGCGCGTCACGAATCCAAGACGCCACTCTCTCTAAGGCCCTTCCACAACTCCGGCTCGAGAAATTTGCTTACTGTGACATCCTCTGCCAAACCCTTTCGTCTCCGTGTTTTTAATACAAAGTCCCGCGCCGTCGCCACTGCCGGCGCCATCTCGAGGGGCTTGGTTTTCACTTCTCTGTCCAATGGGTCTCCTGGCACGACACTCCATTTATCGAAAGCCAGGCTGACGGCAGCCTGACCTTGGGTGTGGATTCGAAGATCCGTCTCAAAACCAAACGAATCGATGACTGGAATCAACCCACGCACCGAGTACAGTGGCGTTCCGGCGATCGGTCCATCGGACAGGACGTGGCCTCTTCTGCGTGAGAGAACCGTGTATACTGACGCGACTGCATCCGCAGGCCCTGTCATCGCACAAGAATAGATTGGCTCCATCAGGCGAGGAGAAGCCATGAGGAATGAGGAGTAAACCGCTCGTCGAGTGGTTGGGATGATTTGGCCACCTCCTCGGTAGATGGCTTGGTCGGCGAGCGAAACGTCCGTAAGTCGGAATTTGGTGTTTCGGATGGCTATGTTGTATTAGCATAAGATAGTCAAATAGGCACACGTCCACGTATATGATCAAGACAATAGTATTAGCGCCATTGGGGAAGGAAAGATAACTTACGCTCCTCACAAAGGGGTCCTTCCCTAGTACCCCAGCTAAAGCCCTGCGTAATCGAATCTCTGACGGTGCCAAGGAGTTTCTTGTCAACCTGCGACGGCAGAGTATCATCCTGCAGTATGTTCGGGCCCATCTCATCAGGGCCAAAAGCCCAGACACTCCGCGCAGCGAGTTTGTCCCAATCATACTTCTCTTCAAAAAATTTCGCAACTTTGCGGATTGGGTCTTTGATGCTGACTTTTCCACTCTCGATATCCTCGGCAATGCCATCGTCTAACGGCTCCGCAATCATGGTGACCTTGTTCTTCTTGTTAGGCGTTATTGAGTAGCACATAATGGCGGAGGTCTCGACGACAGTCTCGCAAAATCGAGTCACAGGGTCCGAGACCTTGATTTCCATCTCGGAGTAAAGCTTTCGTAGATCGTGCATGACGCAATCCATGTAGAGCTCGCCTGTTCCCAGGATGACATGCTCACCGGATTCTTCGACCTTGGTGGAGACGAGCGGATAGCTCTTGTTGATTTTCCGCAGGCCGTCGAGCATTTTAGGCAGTTCCGACGGGTTTACCGGTTCAACGGCGACCTTGAACACGGACTCGGTCATTTGGCGAATCGGCTTGAAGATATGGGCTTCCTCGTCGTTCTTTAACTTCAAGGGTACCAGCGTAGCAGTCTTCACTATGGAATTGTCCACCCCACCCAGGAGGACCATATTTCCCGCGGGAACGCCATTCGTCGGGATGTTGTAGCATGTTTCAGCGATCCACGTATCGGCAATTGTCGCCGTCACCATGTCTTCTTCGTCTTCGGGAGTATAGCCCTCACCGAGCACTCGAACCTGCTGGCCAGGTCTGGCTGTCCCGCTCATTATCCGCCCAAACGCGTTGAAACCGGAAGCATCAACAGTAGAGAAGAGCTTGGTAATATGGACGATAAGCGGGCCATCGGAGTCGCAAGCTTTCATTGCGGCCGCTACCTCGGTATCGAGAGGGCCGGTGTAGTATCGTTCCAACATCTTCTGAGACCCTTCGACCGGAGAGGGAATGTGCCCGACTATCATGTCAACAAATCCATTGGCTGGGCCAAAGAACTGTTCACAGACAAGGTTGAGTAAAACCTTCGCATCAGATTTCAGTTGCGAGGGTTTCAAGTTGATTCCGATATTGGCGAGGGTCTCTTTCAAGTCTTCCGGGCTCTCGCTTATCGTGTGGGAGTAGATTTTGTAGATTGGTTCGAGAACAAACTTGACAAATGTTCGCTGCGCGTTCTCTTCCACTCCTTTCCGCGTGAATTTGCGACTTTGAGGATTGAAAAATATATCGCCCCACAGGCGTAAGGCGAAATCAGAAGCCGCAATCCCCGGATAGGAATCAGCGTACATCTTGGCGAATGATTGGAGTGAGAAGCACCAGCCCATGGAGGCGCAGGCGAAAGCAACGTTGCCCTTCTCCGGACTCAGTCGTCTTTTCTCGCCTTGTCCAGGCAGAACGTTCTCGATAACTGTATTGACCTCTTCAATAACGTGCTTCAGCTTGAAATAAGCATCATTAGGAGGGATCTTCAGCTCCAAGATCAATCTATCCATTTTGTTGATCACCAAAGTCAGAGGCAGGTCCTCTAGCACAGCATGTTTGATTATCTGCTCGGTATTTGCCTGTACGCCTTCAACGACGTCAACCACTAGCACCACGCCGTCGGCCAACCTACACGAGGCAGCGACTTCGTCCACAAAATCCACATGACCAGGTGTGTCGATGATGTTCACCAGATGGGATTTACCCTTGGTCCCCTGAAGAACTAAACTCATAGGTGCCGACTTGATCGAGAGGCCACGCTCTTTTTCTAAAAAGTGGACATCGGTATAACGAAGCTGCTCTTCCTTTCGTCGACCTGCCCTTTTGTTAAGGCGCTCGGATAGATCGTGTGTTTGCGTGACGAGCATGTCCATGAACGCGGTTTTCCCATGGTGCAAATGACCGACGAGAGCAATATTCCTGATCTGTTCAGGAAAGCTGAGCAAGTCCGTCATGAATTCTCGTGAGAAGTAGACAGCTGGAAGCTCCGCTTCCTCAATGGCGAATTTTTTCTGTTGAACCGGGGCGATTATGGGTTCAGACAATGATTGTGTGTCTTCCTCTTGTACGATGGTTTCGACATCCGCTCCGTAGACCTGCTGCGCGCTTGGGTAATATTGTTTATCTTCGTGAAGGATAACGGCGTTGGAAGGCCCCTCTGTAAATGAAACTTGTTAGCAACTTCCAGGAGCAAAAGAAGTATAAATGGTATCATGGCGTACCGTCCACCTCCATAAGCTGCTGGTCGTTTACACCTTGGTCTTCATCCTCTCCAAAAGCCTCGTCAAAATCGAAACCCTGTGCTTTGACCTCCTCATTCTGCGATTCCTCGTCCGTATCTACCGCTTCGCCGATGTAGTTTCCGAACCTAAATAGCCAGTCAGTCGCAGCGCACCGGGTAAAGATTCAATTGCTCGGGGTCGTACTCGTCATAAAGGTCATCCATGATGTTGCGCCCAATGCTCCTAATCTCATTACCTGATGCGAAAGAGGTGGTGTGGAGACTGTTTTATTTCCTTGCGACCTCGCCAAGTTTTTTTTGTCCTTTGGCAGGTCGGTAGCAAGAGAGCTTCGGGCTGAACCAGGATCACGGCGGAAGTATTGAATTTAGGTCGAGTTACCAAGGTCGGTTAGCGCCAGAATTCTAAGGTCTCGAGCTTTGGATGCCTTAATTCTGGCCCCGCCGGGAGAGGGGCGCTGCCATTTTGTCTCACCGTTTGGAGCAAGTGAGCCACCCCCCTCAGGAAGCGCTTGGGTCGGACAAATTTGAACCAGATTTCAACAATAGACCATTGCATTCAAAGTCAATATCTCTACATTGTCTAAACAACTGTTTACAGAAGTCATCTTTCTCTAAATTTCCATCTCGCCCGCCATGTCTTCGCTCCCGCCTGTCTACATTGTATCAACCGCCCGGACTCCTGTGGGTTCATTTTTGGGGTCAGATCCCATGAGTGTCTTGACCTCAGTTCGCGCGACTGACACTTTCCTACAGTTCTCTCGCCAGCCAAACCGCGCCGCAACTCGGCTCCCATGCCATCAAAGGTGCGACAGCTCCCTAATACCTACAATATACCGCATATTAATGCGCATACAGCGGCACTGAACAAGGCCGAGGGGCTCAAGTCTTCGGACGTTCAGGAGGTATTCTTCGGAAATGTTATTTCGGCCAAGTGAGTTTCATGAGTTCCAATGCTCCTTTTCCGGGAAATGAAGATGCGATTGAAACACATGTACTCACCCATGATATCTTTGGATTAGTGTCGGACAGAACCCTGCTCGCCAGTGCGCCCTCGGTGCCGGACTCGAGGATTCGACTGTTTGCACCACGGTCAACAAGGTTTGCGCCTCTGGGTTGAAGGCAATCATCCTCGGAGCCCAGACTATTATGACCGGTAACGCCGACGTCGTTGTGGCCGGTGGCGCCGAGTCCATGTCGAACGCCCCTCATTACCTTCCCAGCCTTCGCAGCGGTGCCAAGTATGGCAACCAGACGGTCGTGGATGGTATCATGAAAGATGGCTTGACGGATGCGGGCAAGCAGGAGCTCATGGGCCTGCAGGCAGAAGAATGTGCCCAGGACCATGGTTTCACCAGAGAAGATCAAGATAACTATGCGATCCGCACGTACGAAAAGGCCCAGGCTGCGCAAAAGGCCGGAGTTTTCGATGACGAGATCGCGCCCGTCGAGCTTCCTGGTTTCAGGGGCAAGCCCGGAGTCACTGTGGCTCAGGATGAGGAACCCAAGAACGTGAGGACAGGTCCACGTGCCGCGAGTCTAGGGTGGCACTTCCCTAAGAATGAGCATCGCTAACGTTTCTTTCAGTTGAACCCTGATAAGCTTCGCGGTATCAAGCCTGCCTTCATCCCTGGGACTGGCACCGTGACTGCCCCCAACTCTTCGCCTCTCAATGACGGCGCTGCTGCTGTCGTTCTGGTCTCGGAGGCGAAGCTCAAGGAGCTCGGATTAAAACCCGTTGCTAAGATCCTTGGGTGGGGAGACGCTGCTCAACAGCCCAGCAAATTCACCACCGCGCCCGCATTGGCAATTCCCAAGGCCCTCAAGCACGCTGGCCTGTCTCAGAATGACGTCGATGCCTTCGAAATCAACGAGGCCTTCAGTGTCGTTGCACTTGCCAATATGAAGGTCCTTGGAATCTCCGAGGACAAGGTTAACATCCATGGCGGTGCGGTGGCTATTGGCCACCCTATCGGTGCCAGTGGTGCTCGAATTGTGGCCACCTTGCTTGGTGTGTTGAAGGCCAAGAATGGAAAGATTGGCTGCGTTGGAATTTGCAACGGTGGTGGGGGTGCCAGTGCTATGGTTGTCCAGTCTCTTGCTTGAAGAGAACACAATCAGGCCCGAATTTTCATCCCTTACCTCGATCTCCTATTCTGTTAGGGGTGGGGCGAAGATGGAATGCAACGTTACGTATTCCCGCTTGATATCATAACACACAATACGATGATTACCCCTCATGCAGGCCGAGCTGGCTGAGAAGCGTTCTTGTTACATAGTATAGCGAATATTCTGTCTATATTATTCACTGACTGGGAGAGTTAAGGAAATGCAATCATAGCCTTTATAATGATCTCTATCGACTGGTTGGTTCAAAATATAGCATCCTAATTGCTTACGATTTACTACGCCCTAGCGAGATCATTAGGGTTTTAGACAACTAATATGCTACTCACCCTCATTTCACACCGGGTTTCGAGCACTGAGAATACGAATAGCTCCTCATACGTGAAATTGAGGCCAAAAAAGGATGCTAGGAGGCTGTTTACAGCTGCGTGTCTACCTGTAGCTCCCTACCATAAGTCACTGATTCAATACCTCATCACATATTTTTCACTTTCACATAACCCTTCATCTGTGCCTCAGTATCTAGCTGCTTCTTCTCCGCGGCCGCCTCGCTCACCGAGAGGGTTGACATCGCCATCTCCCGGTAGCAATACACACACCACTTTGCGCTCCAACAACGAAGCATGTTTAACACTATGGGCACATGTGATATGGCAGCTTGAAGTGTCTGCGCACCTCTGAACCCAGCATCTCTACTTAGTTTAGATATCACTCAGCCAACCTGTAAGGAGCGTCTGCATCCAGTGCTTCTGCACTAACTTTCGTGAGCCCCCTACCCCTCCTTTGAATCGATATCCGGGCTAATCCTTGCATTTACGATTGTAGCCGCATAGGTTTTGGTGCACTGAATATAGGACTACTTACGAAGACCAAAAGATATCATGATACCTTTTGTAGCCGAGTGGTAATTCCTCGCAACATGATATTACTGCGTCGGCTTTTCTTTAATCCAGAGTTGTCCATCGTTTTGGTAAATAGTCCGTTGCTTGAATATATTATAGCTTTCTTAGTGTTGACTCTTAGAGAAATGCCTTCTGATGTTATTCCGCGGGAGAAGTATTGAATGAGCTTAGCCCCCGTCAATCATCATTACATCGTTCGAGTGAGCGGTGCGCCGGATTAAGAGAAATCTGCTGATGAAGGTGAACCGTGTGGCCTAATTCATTACTCGCAGGACATGGTCAAGCGACGCCTATCCACTTCCGTACAGGATGGGATCCTACGGAAATCCAGAAGAGTGGCTGGACCACGCATTTTGAGCAAGGACCCGGGCGTGAATGGCCGCAGCTAGATCGCCTATCCAGTTTATTTGGTGCATGGAGCGCAGCAGTCATGTTGGGACCATGGACTCTGGTCAGACTTCTTTAAACGTATCAAGCTTGAAACTACTCGTTCATTATGTTGTTCATGCCATACGGCTCACCACATAGGGGCAAGGTATTATTTGTCATAAGTGTTTGTATCCTAGTGTCAGAAACGTGGTATAACTTGCAGTAACTCTTGGGTATATTCTGAATATGCTCTTGTATTATATAACGACCACAAAGCTTGGATGACTCGGCTGTTTATGCAAAGGCGCCAACAAGCGCCATCAGCACGGCACCGCTGAATACCGCTATACAGGCATCAACGCGCCGTCGGCCCCTGAGATCCGTGTAGCTTGACTGACTTAGGAAGTCTTCGGCGAGAAGTTCCACCAGCCCGGCAAACAATAACAGACCACTACTGATTGCGTTGGTTATACCAACCATGAGCAATCCAGTAGTGCTGCCTGGGTCATATAGGTTGTGCAAGATAAGCCCAAGGGCTTGGCCGATAGGCGTAGTAGTTCCATACGCAAGCGCCATCAGCCATGGCTTCATCGAGGACGGTGCAAAAAGGTCTGGGATCAAAGACGCAATGCGGGACCCGAGGGCGAACCCCTCAAATGTTTGGTGGAACGATATGGCCACAAGAAGGACGACAAAGGAGGTCCCTGTCGCAACGCTGACAGCCATCCCAATGAAAATGCTGTGAAAGAGTATACCGGCTTCAAGGAGGAGGCACTGAAGAAGCTGACGTTGAGGATTCTGCACTGACAGCGCCGGATTCGGTTCTTGATGTGAACCGCTTACACGAGGCTGTCGATCGCGAGATCGTAGACTAGAGTTACGGCGCCCTTCAGTCTGAGGCAGCCCATACGAGTCCGAGTCTTCGGTGTTCGTATCTTCAACTTCTTTGCGGGACAACACTTCTGGATGGGTGTCAATGAGCCCGTCCCCTGAAAGCCTTGAGGCAGAATTCTGAGTAAGGCTGTCTGTCTCACTCAACCCCTCCAGGCGAATGTTCTCCGATTCTTGACCATCGGGGCTCAATTGGTCGGCTTCTTCGTCTCGGTAGTAGCGCGGAGTCGCACCATCGGCATCTGCAAGCAACTTGTCGTATTCGCTTCCATGTACATGACCTGCTCCTTTCATGGCGAAGAACATCTCCACGAGAACCACAAGGAAGACCGAGATCATGGCAACAAATCCAGCCATGGCACGATAGGTCTCACTCCAAAACCGAGGAAGGCAGGGATCTGTCAAGGAGAGGAATGCGGTAGGGAGCAAATGAACAAAGGCCGTGGCAATCAAGACCCCTGTACCGAAATGCCTGGAAAGGAAGAGGAAGCGACGTGGTATCGGTAAGCGGGGGAATCGACGGGCAACGATGGGAAACGAGCATGCTGTAAGGACAAAGGTGATCAGCTTTCGGACAACCATACAGGTCATAGAGGGCTTACCTGATGTGCTTAGAACGAGGATAAGAAACAATGCCATGACGTGTATGGAGGTGTTATATGCACCCCGCTCTCTGGGGCCACATGCTGATTTATCGTTGTTATCATCGCCTCGAGCTTGGAGTCTTCGAGAAAGCTCGGCTCGTAAGATGGCATCGGATACATTGGCGATCGATGTAAGAGCATCCTTCGGAACTGGCGCATCGTGTCAGTTTAACTCGATTCAAACCATACTTTTTGGCAAGCTGCGAGAAAGTTGTCCCGGCTATTTATCAACGCCAATATCCCTCGACGAGGACTTCGGAGGGGGGTCCCTTAGTACTCACGAGGTAGGCTCTGGTGTTCTTGCTGCCCTCCCACGAATTCCATCATGTTTGCTTAGTTCTGGATTGTCCCTCCGGTCCAGGTACATCCATTACTAAGAGCGGCACAGATATCTCACGCTTGAGCAATGATTGCTGCCTTGATCGATGAACTTCTTCCTGGGCAGAGTTGACTGGAAGATAACAGGTTTCACTAAAGAAAGGACGGAGATGCCGGATGCACGAAGTTTGATATTCACAAAGATGTGGATCAATCCATCGTTAGATCAATAGATATTGGTCCATAAGAACAAGAAGGCGTGGCCTTCGGGCAAAGACAGCGTGTGTTGCAGGCAAGGGACGGCGCGCTTTTGTAGATTGCATGGCCAAGCTGGGGGACTCCCACTGCTTACTAAAAAAACAATGATGGCGCCCCATTCCTCTCCTTCCTCCCTTCCGATGCCCCTCATGATCTCCCCCGAAGAGAACCAAACATGAAAAAGAGAATGCTGTTCACGATTTATGGATAGTAAACTTTCTCCCACTTTCTGTTTTCCTGTTTTGTAACATTATAACTTGGTATGTTTTTTTAAACAGAATAGGGAGGCAGGTTTTATTGATCATTGATCATTGATCATTGTTATCGTTACCATCTCTTATCTCTCTTATCGTTTCCTCTCTCGGAAACCATATCAGTCAATTACTTGATTGTTAGAGCTGGATAGCTATACATAGAAAGCTCATGATCTATTCTTCAGCCTCGTCCAACCGCTGGTTCCCTTCGACCGGTTGGAGCTCTCCACTTTAGTTGAAGTAGTGAGATAGGCGCCATTATACCTAGGCGGGTCTTCCGCGGCCATGGACCCAGTCGATGGACCATCCCTGGCAAGCCTATGCCCCTGCTCTGCACTGGGAGTGGGATCAGTTGGATCGTGCAACGTGTCGTCCCATTCCTTCTTCTCCAATACCTCCCATTCTGCATTTGTCATTTCTCCAAGCAAACTTGCTTTAATTTTGTCCATGACTGCTGTGGGAGTTGAAAGTTTCCAAGTTCGCATGAACTCCATCCCTTCTGATGCGCCTAGGAAAGAATGTACCGTGCCATGGGAATAGTGCCCAAGCACTGGGAACGACTTTGTCCTTTGGATCGTGGTCTTTGGGGAGTCTTTTGTAGCCTTTAACGGTGATTGTATGTCAGGGCCGGTAAATGCCCTAGTTAGTGCTGCCGTTTGCACAGAAGGGGCAAGAAAGAGCTGCCATAGGTTTTTCCCAATATCGCAAACTTCTTCCCAAGAATCCGATGCTAGGTTAAGACCTTGCGTTCGGCATAACCAAGACAAATCCCAAGCTAACCAAGTCACCCCTTCCAGGAACAAAGAATAAGTTTTGAAATCTTCCACAGCTAATTTCGGGAGACTTTTATCCACAGAAAGAGGCCGAGATTGGGGTAAACGGGACTGCGATTTGTCTGCTCCTGTTGTTGAACTCGAATGTGATGAGGTTGGGAAGGGCATATAATTGGATTTCTGTGAAAGATATGACCCAGAGGGTGCATATATGGTAGTTGCCGGTTGGTTTCTATGGGGGAGCACTATTTCAGCTGGGAGTTTTAGAGATAGATAATGAGAAGTGAGGACAAGCAGGCGGGCGATGTAAGACATCGATGTTGATATCTGAACTGGACAGGCCCCTGTTGATCTATTAGTAACTGTAAGTACAAGTCAAAATCCAGAGTCACAACTTTCCATTCAGATCCCGGAGGTCGAATATGGGCACACCGCTAATTGTGTAAGTCGATTTAAGCTTGCCGCCTTTCTCACGAGCGCTGTGGTGTAATCCATAGAGGGAGGCAATCTCCCTGCAGAGGAATATCCGGGCTTCGGCTGTTCTACTGTGCAAGGTGTGCCACAGGTGGTCCGTCCTCTTGGTGTTATTCTGAAGACCAACCAAGGTTGAAGTTTCTCTTCCGGCGAGCTGATACCTTGCCGACTCCTCGTCGGACTTTCGACGGTCTAGCTCCGACCTTCTTCGAGACAGATCGGACTTTCTCTGTTCTATGTCGGCCTCTAGGCGCTCGATCTGAGCTGCAACCGTTTGTCTCCGAGCGCAAGACTTGGCTTCTTCGGTAGCAATAGTTTGTACTGCCCGGAAAGTCGAGCCCCCTTCTTCAGGTACTTCTTTCGCTCTTTCGAAGCTAGTGGCATATTCTTTCCGAGTATCCCCAGGTGCTAATTTATCTTCGATCTGTTGTCCGAAAGACTCTCTCTCGAGGCGGATTCTGGCATTTTCGAGCCGTAGCTGGTAAAGCTGACTGCGAGCGCAGGTAGGGCAAAAGAAAGGTTGGCGCGTTACTGGAGGATGAGAACATATGTGGCAGCTCATTTCAAGATGTCTTTTCCGAAAAACCTCTTTCTTGGACTAGCAGTTCACAGTTCCATGACCCAGTTGTTGATGGGAAGGACTGCCTGCTTGCCTGTTGATTAACAAATCCGTTGATTTAGAAGATATCACAAGAAGAAATATACACAAAGCGATATCTTCACTTCGCGTTTTGTGAGGGGTTTATTATCTTGCGATCATTTCAAATAGGGTGATATATCCAACTGAACAATCGCAAGTGTACTGATGTACTGTAAGTAGCTTGGTTGAATCAAGTAAGTGGTTGTTATCTAATACAGTACTCTCCGCACATGAATGGACGAGGTAACATAGCATGACTCATGATCTCCGGCTCCGGCCCAGTAGGTTCACCTACAGGCTCGGAATAACTTAATGCCAGTCCAGTACAAATGTATTGTATAGTGAAAGGCTTTGCTTGTTATCAGGCATGACGTAGCTTGTAACAAGTGGGAACGAAAAGTGCAGCAATAAGCTCTATGGTAATCATAACAATAGCCCTGATGGTAATGATAGATGAAAGGTCATATCATAGAATATGAAGCAGTGAAAGATATTATACTTGACACATCCTGGAATAGAAACAGCGGGCTGTTGGAGAAACTGGAGGATTAGTGATTTAACCAATAATCAGCCGTGATTCGTGAGTATAAAGCAGTTCCTATACATATGAGAACCTACGCCAATGTAGTTAGGCTACGGATCCTGTACCGTGAGTCTGTGATACCCTGAGGGAAATGTTGATAAGATAGTTGGTGTGGTAATCATGGTAATCTAAACTACCTAGTCAATTATATCGTTTACAACCACAATACCCAACCTTTTCATAATCCAGTATTTCGGAATCTTAGAGGTCGCCTGGTACCTATAGTCTTGAGAGGTGGAATGCAGATCATACAATTGAGCACATCCTCAATAAGTGTTAAGTCTAGTTTAAATAAGATGTCCACGACGTATTTAGCTAGTAGCTATTCCAGAGAGACAACAAGCTTGTTTCCCATTTGCTGCCTTTGAAATCTATACTCCGGTCGGTAACTACATTGACCATCCCTCACATTTATCTCACCCATCTTGCTCTCCCATATATTCCTTAATAATCCAAGTCAAGGTTCTCCTCTCTACGCCATCATCCACCTGAGATATCTAAACAATGCACAACACGGCAGAGTCTAGTACTTTTCCAGAAGAGACCTCTTTTGAGGATCTTAAGAATTATGACTGGGAACAGCTCCAGGAACGGTATCTGGATCTGATGGAGAAACATGGAGAAACCGAGGAACAATTACAGGCTCAGATTTCAGACTTGCTAGAGGTATATCGGTCGGCACTCGATTCAAGGCCATTCCTCTAATTATCATCGACTAGATATTTGCCGCTTGGTCTCGCGTTACTGTTGTTCGCGATGAGACTCGGGCATTCAAAAGGTTTGTGTTTTGCCCAACACTTGAGAAATGCGCGGTATTCACTGTAGCAGGTTCAAAACACAAATAGAGCATGTGCAAAACTCGGAAGACACGTTAGAGCAAAAGAGAAAACACTGTAGGATCCACCATCAACATGTTTTCAGAATACTTTTTGACACCTTTGCGCAGATGTTGCTGTCGTGAAGGCATTCGAGAGTGCTCTTGCGCTGCTTAATGGTCGCCTTAAACACTGAGTAATTACTTCTTCAGCGGCCAAATCCTGGCAACGAAAGCGTCTTTTGTTCTTGCCTCTGTCGTTTTTTCAAATGTACTGTATATGACCAAGTGTGGGATCAGTGAACAGCTAATATAATTTACAACCTTATCGGAAGATATGTGCTATTATCAGATGTCGTGATGCCATTAATAATTCTCAAATGATATCAAGACAGCGTAAGTCTAGACTATGACTGAAAAAAGGTATACGGTGCTTCATCCTCCTGCTCTGCCATATCCACTTTCTCTGCCGACGGGGGTAGTACTACCATACAAACGACTATCCGTTTGTCTCCCGGTACTTGCTAATAGTCTTTCTTCCTCAGCCTCTTCGGCATCTTCGAGTTGTTGCTCATTCGGCTTCGGTGTGCGCACCATAGAGATTATGGTCGCAATCAAATAGATACCTGATTGATGAACCATATGTTAGCGTTGAATGTGATGATGAGGGGGTCTAGAAACAACCTAGGAAGACAAATTGGGACGCGAAGAAGATTGCCCCAAAAAAGGGGAAATTAATCGTCACACGATTTAAGAACGTGCTCGTGACACTTGGGATGCAAATGCGGCGCGCAGCCAAATTCGAGGTCATCTCCGAGCATGGCTTGACAAGCTGCCTAGTATTAGAACAGTCAAGCTGCTCTCCCAACGATCCATCGGAAACGCGATCACAGAACGTCTGTCGTCCAAAAGTCGCATATTGGGGTGCTATGACCATAGGTATCGAGTAGTTCAGTGCAAAGACACTCAACATTAACATGGCTGTTGTCAATAGCAGAGCTTGCGGCGAGGTATGACCTGGTCGGACTTGGAATATTCTTAGGAAAAAGAGTCGAACACCAATAGTGGTAATGCCGACGATGGTGCCGCAGAAGAACATCAGAACAATTGCAGTAAAGATAACGTAGTCTGCTGGAATAGCTTTGGCCGACTGGACAAGAGCCCAGTTGACAGGGTTGAAAATATTGATGCTTCCGAGAATGTATCCACATCGATGCTTGCAAAGAGAGTTCCGGGCTTTGTCAATCATGGTCAAAAGCATGGATACACATGTGACAAGTGCGGCCATGAATATGATAATACCGATTAAGATCTTAAATGGTCGGAGAGCCGTTTCAATTTTCAGGCGAATTTTCGTGGGCCAGGCTTGATTATCTGCAGCAAGCTCGCCTGCTAGACGTTGTCGCCGAATAAGTGTCCTCTCGTCCCTGACTAGAGAGTCTAACTCTCTGCGGTCCTTCGAAGATAAGATTTCTGGATTCCCACCGCAGCGGTTTTCTAATTGACGCTGTCGTTCTCGGTTGATTTCAAGTTGGACCTCTGTTGTTCTTGTTTCCAAATATCCGCCAGAGGTATAACGTGGGCGTTTGATAAGCTTGATAGGTAGTAGGGCGAGGCCAGTTGAAGTATACAAAACGTATAAAGCCATGCCTATAGTTATCAGCAGACCAAGAGTGAATGTGAGGGCGCGCTCTCCACCTGCAAGACCATTAGTACTACTTGGTTAGAAGTGGATAACATTGAGCTCACGATTTTCAGAGAGTAGTTTCTTGAAAAAATCAAGGCCGCTACCGTCATTTTCTCCCTTTGGAGCTGGGATAAGAAACCCAACAGCGAATAGAAGAATTGTTATGACAATAAACGAAAGAGTGTATTTTAATGTAGCCCAGAAGCGACGGCATAGTGTCTGCTCTCCTGCCTCAGCCGCGACTTCGTCATATTCTTCATACCAAAAATAGGTAAAGGGTATCACGACGAGACACAGTAGCGCGTCAAGTGTGTAAAGGAGGTAATAGGCCGTAGATAGTGAGAACAAAATTTTATCAACCTCATCTTGAGTAGCCCACTCCTTGCGCTGACCTAATGCCGGTATATTTGTAGATGATATCAGGGCAATGTCTACTGGGAGCAGTAGAACGGTTGCGAGGAGTGTGGTAATAGAAGCAATACATGTTATCGTCACAGATGGTGCACGGTCTTCGGGCTTTTGATAGAGGTATACAAAGATCGAGGCGACTGTAATGAGCACGAAGATCAAAATCGCATACGCAGCCCAAATCAAGGACGCTGGTAGGAGGGCCATGGCGTTGTGATGCCAGTTGGTGCCGAAAGATGAAGTTTCCTGGTGTGATGTGCTTCAGCTAGCATTTACTATCGCAGTTAGTGATATGTATGAAGATCCAGAAGAGGACATACAATTTTTCATTTTCAATATAATTCTGGACTCGAGTTGGCTGTAATGTCGTCGTTGAACTGTCTACTTAGTCCTTACATCATCGGTCGGACCTCCGTTATCAGTCACGTGAATATTGCTGATCGGACTATCGGGCTTTATTCCTGCACCCTCTTTTGAGCCAGCTTTTCGGATTTATTTACTTTTCTCTTCCTTGATTATTTGATTCAGCCAGCGCTAGCGATAGAATATCCAGCGTTGAAACAAGGACGGCAGGCAGAAAATTTATGATCTATAGGGATGGATAAGATTGCTGCCCTTGATTCACACTGACAACCAAATGCAGTGTTATACCGAGCTATTGCCCCCAACTGGGGTCACTCATGCATTGAAACTCCCCTTTCTCTCTGCAGACGCCAATAATCTGGCTATTGCTAGGACATCGGTTCTTCAAATTTTCACCTTGAAGAATATTCCTTCTCAGTCTGACATCGACAACGAACGATCTTCTCAACCAAGCCAGGAGATAACCAAACTTGTGCTGGAGAAAGAATATCATGTTCCCGGAACGATAACTGGTCTTTCTCGGGTGAGGGTACTGGATACAAAGAGTGGTGGAGAAGCAATTCTGCTTTCCTTTAGGAATGCAAAGCTGAGTTTGATCGAATGGGACCCAGAGCGGTATGGGATATCAACTATCTCTGTTCATTATTATGAGCGAGATGATTTGACCCGTAGCCCATGGGCCCCTGATTTAAATGACTGTGGAAGCATTCTAAGTGTGGATCCAGGCAGTAGGTGTGCGATATTCAATTTTGGAATCCACAACCTTGCTATAATCCCGTTCCATCAACCGGGCGATGATTTGGTGATGGATGATTACGACACGGACGAGGACAACAAGGAACAAGCCAATAGAGAGGGACATCACTTGGAGACACCTAAAGCCAACCTATCTTACCAAACACCATATGGACCTTCCTTTGTTCTCCCCCTAACGGCTTTGGATCCGTCGATAGTTCACCCAATAAGTCTTACCTTCCTATATGAGTATAGAGAGCCAACTTTTGGTATCCTTTACTCTCAAGTCGCAACATCGAATGCGCTTCTGCATGAAAGAAAAGATGTTGTTTTCTATGCCGTGTTTCAGCTGGATTTGGAACAACGGGCCTCAACAATGTTGCTCTCGGTATCAAGGCTACCCAGTGACTTGTTCAAAGTGGTGGCCCTTCCCCCTCCTGTTGGGGGTGCTCTACTCATTGGATCCAATGAACTTGTACACGTCGATCAGGCTGGGAAAACGAATGCCGTTGGTGTTAATGAGTTTTCCCGACAAGTTTCGACATTTTCCATGGCGGACCAGTCGGATCTTGCTCTCCGGCTGGAAGGCTGTGCCATTGAGCGTCTTAGTGACCATAATGGCGACCTGCTCCTAGTCCTTTCCTCGGGCAGTTTAGTCCTTGTCACTTTCAAGCTTGATGGCAGGTCGGTGTCCGGTATCTCCGTCTCCCTTGTTCCTCCACATACCGGCGGCAATATCATGAAATCTGCCGCGTCATGCTCTACTTTCATTAGCGATGGGCGGGTTTTCTTTGGCAGTGAAGATGCAGAATCGGTGCTTTTGGGTTGGTCGCGCTCTGTCCCTAGTGTAAAGAAACTACGGTCACAGGTAAAGCACACCGCCGGAGAGACCGATGGCTTGTCAGAAGAGGAGCAGAGTGAAAATGAATCTTATGAAGACGACCTATACTCTACAGTCCCTGAAGTGGACAGCCGTCGATTGTCAACGGAAACATCAGCCTCTGGGGCGTACCAATTCCGAAAACACGACAGGCTTTTCAATATTGGGCCTTTGAGAGACTTCACACTTGGCAAGACGCAGAAAAATACTAACAGCACAGAACACTCTGTCAAGAGCGTCTCAGCCGAGCTAGACCTAGTAGCTGCCCAAGGTACTGGCGAAAGTGGCGGGCTGGTAGTGATGAATCGCGAAGTTGATCCTCTCATCATCTCCTCCATGACAATAGAATCAGCCAACCGGGTTTGGGCAGCACGCGTAGCTCACAAAATGGCGACGGTGCCCAATAACCTTGCGGGTCAAAATGAAAGACAAGATTGGCAGCATTTTGTTATAATATCGAAACCGAAAAGCAGTGAAAAAGAAATTTCAGAAGTCTTCCAAGTGGAGGGTCAGACATTGAAACCTTTCAAAGCTCCCGAGTTCAATCCAAATGAGGATATCACTATCGACATTGGAACGTTGGAAAGCAAAAACCGTGTCGTCCAGGTCCTAAAGAACGAGGTCCGAAGCTACGAGATCGGTAAGCATTAGTCCAAGATGATGGTTGAATGAGAAAAGTAGCTAATTTAATAGATATGGGACTGGCTCAGATCTATCCTGTTTGGGATGAGGATACAAGCGATGAACGTGTGGCTGTTAGTGCTAGTTTCGTGGATCCGTATATAGCTATCCTTCGAGACGATGCTACCTTACTGCTCCTCCAAGCAGATGATAGTGGCGATCTTGATGAAGCTGTATTGAATAGTGATATCACAGGATTACAATGGTTGTCTTGCTGTTTGTACTGTGACAAAACTGGGATTTTTTCATCTGATAACCGGGGTTCCGAAAGCACAGCGACAGCTGACATGCTACTCTTTCTGCTGAGTGCGGATTGCCGATTATTCGTAAGTTGCCGCAGTACTCATCAAATTGGTATGAGCTCTCATCTCTGACAATGATTGGCCTTCAGATCTATAGACTGTCTGATCAGAAATTGATCTCAGTAATTGAAGGCCTCGATTGCTTCTCACCTATCCTTTCGGATGAACCACCAAAGCGATCGACCGCACGAGAAGTGCTAGTGGAGGCCGTTGTTGCGGACCTTGGTGATGCCTGGGACTCCTCCCCTTATCTGATTGTACGATCCATGGCCCAAGTTCCCTCGCTTTACATCGTTTGATTATTTGAGCACTAACGCTGTCTGCAATAGCTTCGTACTGAAAACGATGATCTCGCTGTATACCGGCCATTTATTACCTCAGTTGAGCCGGGGAACAACGCTACCAAGCTGAACTTCATAAGAGAACCAAGCATTATCCTACCCAATACGCTCTCCAACCCCGAGGCAAACAGGTCAACTACAGAGTCGCGGAAAGCCCAATCACTCCGAGTCTTGACCACGGTATCAGGCCTTAAAGCCGTGTTTATGCCTGGGCACACAGCAGGTTTTGTTTGTAAAACTGCAGCAAGCGCACCGCACTTCCTACGCTTGAGGAGCGACTACACTGGGAGCCTGAGCAGCATTGATACCCCAATGTGCGAAAAGGGCTTTGTGTATCTAGATTCAAAGGTAATTCGAGATTCTCACTGTTTGAATGTTCAATGCTGACAGGATGAACAGAACGTTGTACGCATGTGTCAGTTGCCCGAAGAAACGCAATTTGATTATCCATGGACATTGCGGAGAGTACCTGTGGGAAACCAAATTGACCACTTGGCTTACTCCTCCGCATCCAACACATACGTTCTTGGGACTAGCCAAGCAACTAGCTTCCATTTGCCGGAGGATGATGAGTTGCACCCTGAATGGCGCAGTGAAGGTTGGTTCTACGCCGGAGCGTGAGATATGTGTGCTAACGACTGCGGTAGGAGTCACGTTTCTTCCCCAAGTTCCTCTAAGTTGGCTTAAAGTTATGAGTCCTAAAACGTGGACGATAATTGACAGGTACGGACTGCAGAGTAACATTGTGACCAATTGGTAAACTGACTAAGTGTTTCTCACCGGTAGTTACGAACTGGGCTCTTCCGAGCACATCACAGCGGTAAAAAGCATGAGCCTTGAAGTTTCTGAAAACACCCATGAGCGCAGAGAGATGATCGTCGTGGGGACAGCACTCGTTCGAGGCGAAGACATACCTTCCCGCGGTTGTGTGTATGTCTTTGAAGTTATCCAGGTGGTGCCGGATCCCGAAGCACCGGAGACGGACCGCAAATTGAAGCTCATAGGAAAAGAAGTCGTGAAGGGAGCCGTGACTTCTTTGTCCGAGATTGGCGGGCAAGGATTTTTGATGGTCGCCCAGGGTCAAAAGTGCATGGTCCGCGGTCTGAAGGAAGATGGGAGCCTTCTCCCTGTTGCCTTCATGGACATGCAATGCTATGTCAATGTGGCAAAGGAACTTAAAGGAACCGGAATGTGCATCTTAGGAGATGCCGTGAGAGGACTCTGGTTTGCAGGCTATTCTGTATGTTCTCCTTACGCCGACGGACGCTTGTCTCCATGTCAACTTGAGCTAACAGCATTTCCAGGAGGAGCCTTACAAGATGAGTCTGTTCGCAAAGGATCTCGACTATCTGGATGTATTAGCCGCAGACTTCCTCCCAGACGGCGACAAGCTGTACATTGTAGTCGCCGACAGCGACTGCAATCTCCACATACTCCAATACGACCCAGAGGGTAAGCAAGCCCCCAAACCCAATCGACAAACTCAATCTCCCACGAATCCCACTAATTAATCCCCAGACCCCAAATCCTCCAACGGCGACCGCCTCCTCAACCGCAGCAAGTTCCACACCGGCTCCTTCGCCTCAACAGTAACCCTCCTCCCCCGCACAGCAGTCTCCTCAGAGCGCATCACACCAGACACTTCCGACACCTCCTCCTCAATGGACCTCGACATCCGCATCCCACAATACCAAGTCCTCACGACATCGCAGAACGGATCCATCGGACTCATCACCAGCGTGTCGGAAGAACCCTACCGCCGACTCTCAGCGCTGCAGTCCCAGCTCACAAACATCCTGGAACACCCGTGCGGACTCAACCCGCGGGCGTACCGGGCTGTCGAGAGCGACGGCAGCACCGGACGGGGCATGCTGGATGGGAATCTGTTGGCGCAGTGGCTTGGGCTCAGCAAGCAGCGGAAGACGGAGATTGCTGGTCGGGTGGGCGCGCAGGAGTGGGAGATCAGGGCTGACCTTGAGGCTGTTGGTGGGGACGGGCTGGGGTATTTGTAGTTGTTGGTACTTGAACATATTTATTCCATTTCATGCATTTCGCTTCGTTCACTCATATAAGTGGGGGAATGCCCTCTTGACTCTTGTTGATGAGATCCTAACACACAACTAGGATCAACTAGGATCATTCAAACCAAATAGTTAAGAAGAAAATATAGATTTTATGGATTGAATACGTTGAAGAGAAGAAATTAATTATAATAACAGCGAATATATCATCAAGAAAAGTAAAAGGGAAAAAAAAGTATAAAATAACAGAAGAATAAACCCAAAACCCCCGCCCACTCCCTCTGCCCGCACACCCCAACGTTATTCCGAACGTAGTATACTCCTATCACTCCGCAGCCAATAATAACCCCAGGCCATGTTGAATCCCATATCCATACATGTCGAAAATTCACAGTTCGTAGCGAGATAGAAAGGGAAAGATAAAGAATGGAGGAAGTAAGGTGAAGATGAGGAAGAGAAGATCCCGAGAAAGATGTAAAGAACATAGACCAAAATCCATCCAGATGGAAAGTGACTTGAGAACTCGGGTCCCGAGCAGGGCGAACATATATATTGAATGATATTTGCACGGCTGCCGGTAGGCAGACGAGAAACCGAGACGGACTTAGAATGTGCAAGATGTAATCACGCTCTCAGAAAACGTCTTCCGCAGCAAAATATCGCTTACTTCTACCTCTCGCAGCCACGAACTTCATGTCGGGCATGTTGGTATGGTGGACGACGTGGGGTCGATATACTGCGTCCACAGGCGCTTGCCAATCGTCCAAGCCCAGGGGGAAATACTCATATAGTATATCAGCACTCTCGTTGGGAAAAGGAAGGCTCGATGCAAACGGTTGTTGCATGTTCGTGGTGTCCAGTAAGGGTAACGAAGATGTCGTTTCCCTAGGTTGCACTTGGGAAGTGCTATGGGATACCTTGCGCATCTTTGTTGGGGGAGCCGAGCTATCCACATCCGCGGGGTTCTTCCGCGGCGGTTCGTTCGGATAACGAGATCTTGTCGGATCGCGCAAGGCGATGGGGTTACTGCCATCCTCTTCATCCAGGAGCGTCAGGTTGATGGGGGCAGCCACGGTGTTCGTATCCTGGAGATTATCTGTCTGCCGGGAAAATTCTGGAGTAGGCTGCGAATACATTGACGAGTGGGACAATACCCCCGACGGGATGGGTGCGCTCCCTCCCGGATGTTGAACCTGCTGCGTCCACCCCGGAGAAGGAAGCTGTGGCGCCACGGCAGCTTGGGAGGATGCGGTCTCTGGCGACGTGCTCTTCGCCGGAGCCTTGGATTTGGCGGCCGTGGGGTTGACACGGGAGATCGAGTCATTGCGGGGAGCCACCCGGTTCACGGCTGCCGTCTGCGCGGCCTGCACATTCTTTCTGGAGGCCGCGGCACTGCCACTCAGCGGCAGGTCTTTGCGTGATTGGAAATTGCGAGGGCTGCGGCCCCGGACGATGATGGGGCCAGAGCGGACTTCACAGATGGGGATCTTTGCGCCGGTCGACAAGGTTGCGACCACCTTGAGCCGGACGACGAAGTGCTGCTGGAGCTCCTTCCTGCGACCATTGTTGGCGGTCGCGACACGGAACTGCAGTCGCTTCCATCCAATGGAAAACTCGGCGTAGTCAGATTCCATGTTCTGACCGGCCATGATATCTAACGGGATCGGTGGGGGCTCTTTCTCGACCTTGGGGTTGGCGCCAGTGTTGGCGGCACGGGAGTTGTTACCATCCTCGGCGGACGGGTTCCCACTCGCGACGGGGGTCTTCCAGGGCACCGAGATGATCTTGACGGAGTTCCCTTCGACCGATTCGGTGGCCGAGACGGTCAACTCCTGCGCCAAGATAGGTATTCGGTCGCCTTGCTCCGTCATGATGTAGCGCAACCCCCGCGGCAAAGTTACCGTGCCCGAGATCTGAAATAAGTTGCGGCGATAGCAAGTCAGCTCCGCACCTTGTTGCGGCGGGGCATTGTCGTTCGGGGAGGTTGTCCACGGGGACTCTGCCAGAAAGAACATGCCCGTCAATTGGGCATCGATGGACAAGGATGTCCGACGTAACGAGTAATCAAGGAATGTGAAGTTGTAAACGGGCCCGGAAAAGCCGAGCAACTTGTTATTGCGGTCGATGGACGAGTCCGGAGGCTGTTCTGGGGGCGTGGGATCGAATGGCGTCATCACATCAAAGGGATCTTCATAACTAGATGGAAACCGGTCCAATGTCGCAGGCAAACCATGCTGCGGGAAGGGGATGTCATCACCGCTAATCGAGGGCGATAGTAAGACCACTGATCGCGAAAGGAAGAGAAGAAAGAGAGAGAGAGAGAGAGAGGGGCGGGATGGGAGACCTACCTGACAAAGGTATCCGAGTCAAAATTGGAGCGCTGGTCTGGAAGATCCATACCAGGCATGGAATTGAGGTAGTCGGTGCCCTGTATGTTGCTGAGGGATAGCGGGCTCGCTAGGTAGGGCAGGGCCATGGTATCGAACCCCTCCATGGCGAGGGTGGCGACCGGCTCGAGGCCTGCACGACGACCAAAAGGCAAGAAGGTAATGAAGCCTTTGGCTCTGTCTCCAACGAAGGCGGCTGTGAATAATCCAGAAGTACTGAAAGGGACGGGGGAGGCCTAGACGAAGCGGGCGGGGCCTAGCGAGGTAGGAGGTGGTAAGATGCGAGTGAGATGATCGCAAAGAGTGCAGCGGGTCAGGCGAAGGACCGTAAGATATGGGAGTAATCAAATCTTCGGATTTGTGGGAGGAGATTGAGCTTTGGCTGAATCACGACATTTGCTATTGTAATGGGAGAAGAGAAGAGAGCTACACAGTTGGTAAGGGCAAGAGGAGGATGACCGAAAGGGAATAAAGAAAGACGCAAGCGAGATGCAGCGCTATTGCTAGCCCTGGTCGCAAGAAGATGAAGAGGAGAGGAGGAGAGGAGGAGAGGGAGGAGAGGAAGTAGTAGTAGTAGTAGTAGTTGCAGTGGTAGTAAGTAGTAAAGAAAGAGTGGATCGGAGCCCCCCGAAGTCAATACAATCTAGACAAGGTAGTGGAGAATGGCGATAGACTGTTCTCTCACTTGGTTTTCTTTTTCTTTTCTTCTCTTATTCCTCGGTCTGTGTTTTGCTGCTGCTGCGCTCCTTTGTTCTTCTTTTCTTTCTCTGTTGCGCGCGCTCTCTCCTTTCTTTTTTAATTTTTCTAGACTTCTCCTTTTTAGAACTGTGAGGAATGAGAAGAAAAAGAAGAAAAGAAAGAACAAGCTGAAGAAGAACAGCCCGGACAAGGTCTAGTCGAATTGAATGGATAGACGAGATAAACCGGACGAGTAGACGGACCCGGCGACGGGGTCCGCAGCAGTAGCGACAGCAGGAGCCAACAAGAGGGGCGGGTGAGATAGTGGGGAGAGCCAAAGCGAAAGGCGAAAAAGGTAAAAAAAAAAAAAAAAAAAGAAAGAAAGAAAGAAAGGGAAATTCAAGGATTGGGGAGGGGGCGTTCACGACGTCCAACACCCGGCGCTGGGACCAAACTGGAATAGTGAATTAGTTTAAACCCCGATAGTCAAGTGAGGTACCAGCGAATGAAGGACAAACTGATGGATTCAGCGGGAGTGGATCAGGAGGACGAGGCTGACAGGCCATTGGGAGGCGAATAATCAAGAATGAGAGGATGAGGAGAGACGAAGTGGGGGAGAGAGAGAAAGAGAGAGAGAGAGAGAGGGAGAGAGTTGATGGTTTTGCGGAGATAAAGCCGACCGCAGACGGAGGGGAAGTGTTTCCCCACCATGGTTTCCTCTCTTCTTCTGTATGATAGAATAGATATTGACTATGAATATATATTTTCAGCTTCTAGTCTATCATTCATTTTAATTATACACATCCTGTATCCTTCCTCGTTGAAAGAATATTATATCTCCATGAGTAAAATACCTACCTGAGTACTGGACTGTTTGCTTATTGTCAAGTGGAAAGGATATCCTTCCCTCGTACCATGGTTCTGTACTGTACCGTACCTGACCCAGTCAGCCTTACCCCACCTAGACCTACTTCGGTATGGTGCAATCTAGTCCCAGAACGGGCAACACCTGGGGAGCGGATACATCAGCCGGATCGGGAGATCCAACTAACTGACTGTGATACTTACCATACTGTATCATACTGTTTTGATCATGGTCTAGACTCATTCTATTCTTACATTCTTACATTCTTCCCTCTCTCTTTCTCTCTCTCTCTCTCTCTATCTCACAGAGAAAAGACAGAGAGAACTGATTATATTGGATACTCCAAGGTATGTTCAACACAATCAGTATCCACACGGATCAAACCACTCCAAGTATGGCCCCAAAAAAGCATAGTCAGTCAGCCAGGAATGAAGCAACGACCGATATGGAAATGTCGCCCACAGGTCCAATATATATATAGCACCTAGTCTCGAACTAGAAGAATTCGGGCCTCCGTCGGAGGATGCTCAGCCAAGTCGCTAAGCACCCTCGACACTGGGTTATACCTATCTAGTCATCCCGTCTGTTCGTCGACCTCCAATCCACCAACCTATAAGATGACTTCTTGTTCCGGCATGTCTAGACAAACTGCTGTGGAAGAGAGGGAGGTGAGGTCCCTAGGTACTGTCTCGAGTGGAACTGGGTCTTCTGGACTAGCCTCATCCGTTCTTTTCGACTGACCTAGCCCTGAACTGATTATGGTAGAGGTAGATAGGTGGTAGCTATACATCTGGGACGACCCACCGAGCCTCTTCAGGTAGCTACCTACCTATCTAGGTAGGTCGGTAGGTACCTCCCACTGACTGCACACAAGTACCTCAAACAATCAGAATATCCAGTACAGCAGAAAACCCATCCGGGGAAGATCCTATCCTACCCTCAACCCAGTGTAATAGGCTACAGACCTAACAAGCCTGTCTCAGGTAAGGCAAGGTCAGTCACGCCTTGATTGGACTTCTTTCGCCACTAAAATATGTAGCTACTGTTAGATCCCTACCTTAGTCCCCGGTATGGAAGGACTTTCTTTATTTATTCACTGTCAGTGTACGGAGTGCTTTGCAGTGCTTTCTGGATTATCTATTTGCCCCCCCCTCTCTCTATTCCTCTTCCTCTCATTGACTATTCGTCATTCATCGATCATTGGATGGATGGCGGTTAGGCGCGGTAGGCTCAAAATCCCTCTCTCTCTTTCTCTCAAGGCTCTTCTTCCTTCCTTCGATCCTTTCGTATTCTGTTATCAACTTTTCTATTTCTCTCCATCCCTAATCAAAGATGATGGGATCGTTTGACCACCACAGCCCTCCGTTCCAGATAAAAAGAGTAGAAAAAAAAAACGGGACTACTTCCCTATGTAGGAAGGTGGAACAACGACCCAAGCTAGTCAACGGCCAAGTCCAGAAAAAAAAAAATAGAATTCACATTCTTCTCGAACACACAAGTGGAATCTTCCATCTCCATCTCCATCCCAACCTGACAGGGTCGATCCAAGTTTGTGCCGAGGTCTCCGAAAACAGCGGGAGAGCGGGTCGAGCTGCTCCGCTCTTCCCCCCAGTCCATCCATCCACTAACTAGGTAGGTAGTTAGCCAAGGATGGATACTTTCATTTTAACTTCTCAAATCGATACAACTGATACAGAGGGGGCTGCTTTAGAGTTTTGCCATCTCGTGGTCTTTGTCAACGTGGGTAATATGCATCGTGAGGCATTTTAATATATCATCTATATTGCTGGTATGTACCTCGTGCATCCCGGTTATTTTGTACACACATATTCTCCTGACTTGAATTGTTATCTCGTAAAATGGTATTTCGACAGGAAAACTGAAAAACTCAAAAATCCAAATTCAAAAGAAGAAAGAGCAGAAAAGGGGTGCTGAAACCCCCATACACAGTGGATATCATGCAGGTGGATGCGACAGCAAGAAAGCAATCCAAAAAAAGAAAAGAATAGTAACAGAAAAAGAAACGAAAGAGCACGCAACCGGACTCAAGGCGCCGGCACCATAGCCCACGTTGCGGCATCGCAGTTGACTTCCTCGAAACTGTGCAGCGTATGAAATCCCATTCCTGACAAGCAGTCGAAATTGCTGTCGCCATCGACCTGTATACCACCACCATATTAGTAAAAAATCTCACCATCCAGCCTAAGACGAGGATTGTACTCACACAGTCCATGATCACTGCGTCTGCGCCTTGTTTACGGACCTGCTTAATCCCCAGCAAGACCAACCCCTGCATGACCGTAGCATACTCGCCTACCGACGGCGAAATGACCGGCGAGGAGATGCCCCCTGCTGACGCATGAGTGGCTTTCAATGCCGGCATATGCTCTGCCAGTAGTGCCCGATTATTATATACGACCACGCTGCCCAAGATCGCCCCATCCGTGGGCCGCTTGGCCCGGATTATGCCGCATCCTGGCGCCCCTCCAAGAGCCAACTTGTAGATGTCCATCACTCCTTGTCGAGAATTGGTTTTGACATGGTCAAGGATCAATTCCGCATAGTCCCATCCGTACACGAGGTCATACGACACTTCCGTATTTTGTAAACCTTGCAGTAAGCCGCCGGATGGAGTCCACGTTTGTAGATTCCGCAGCACCACACTGCAGACGGGCCGGGAGAGCGCCGTGTTCCAACCCAGATTGGCAAACCACTGTCGCAACCTCTTCCGTTCAACGGGATTGGCCGATGGGATCCCTAGGTAGATTCCCGGCAGGCGTGAACCGAGCTGAAATCGTCGCATTCCCTTGCGCTGAAGGAGCGTCCGGATGGCACGGTTATGAAGGGAGGTTCCAATGGAGAGTTTTCTCCTGGTCGGGTCCACGATCAGCGACCCGATAACCCCAGTCCCCGTCGCTCGGAAGTAATATGTCGAACAGAATCCATAGATGGCTTGGGTGCTGCTATTGCGCACAACAAAATGCGCCTCGTCGATCTCCTCCCGCCGCAAGAAAAAACTACGAGGCGTGACGCCTTGGAGCTCGGAGCGTTGTCCCAGAACGCAGTCCTCCCGGACCATGTCCAGTAAGCGATCCAGGGCATGAGTGTCCCTCTCTTCATTGAAATGTTCCACGAGCCAATGCTGTCTTGCTTGATGAAGCTTTTGGCTGCGACTAATCGACCCCGGAAGCATGCCCATCGGAGTGCACGCCCCGTAGAGGACTTTGACGAGAGCCTCGAGCGCCGTCTCCGTGAAGTCGTACGTGCAGAGGTAGGTGCCGATAGTCGGATCCGTCGCAAAATCGTATGGTGAGCTGACAGCAACGACAACCATGGGCTTCTCACAGGGTTCACCGGTCGCAGTGAACTGTGATCGACAGATCATGGATACGTGCTTGGTGAAGCCATGTTGATACATATTCCGGTTAGCATCTGCGGTGACTATAATCACTGCCGATGCCCGGTCGATGAGGTTCTCGTGTATCGGGCGAACACCATTGGCGGTATAAGATGTATGGAGGACACGTCCGTTCCGCTGTCGTGAGAGACACCTCCCCAACTCCTTGAAGACACTTTCACCGCTCAATACAGAGGCAGTCCGATCCCACACGACTGGATCGAGGGATGAATCTAGATGTTCTGTGATCTGGTGAGACACTGCGGAGGCTGGCAATGGTTTCACCAGAGGGGTCAAAAGCAGCAACTCCTCATGGGGCTCCAATATGTTGGAAAGGGGTAGCAGATTCTTCTTATCCCGCACAACGGATACAGAGCTGCCATATGCCTTGGTCGAGAGATTGGTATGCGATGGTTGCATCTGTGTGAGGGAAGGGAGCCCCGGGGGGCTCAACGCCTGCTCCCACGAGGTACATTTTGCCTTCAAGTTCAATATCCGGTGCAGCGATTGTTCGATCCGCGCACGGCCAATGATACCGTTTTCCACGCCGAGTTTCAAACCGTTGATGGCTTCTTGTTGAACTCGGAATGACCGGCAAAGGAGGACGATGTCGCAGCCCGCATTTTTCGCCATCACCGTCCCGCCGCCAACCCCGATGTTGTGGGTGAGGGCCTCCATTTCCAAACACTCGGAGACAACAACGCCGTTGAACTTCAAGTCTTTCCGCAGCAGGTCATCCACTACCTGCTCACTGAGGCAGGCATGCATGACATTCACCCCCGACGAGGACATGGAAACGCCTCCTACCATCATAGCATCCAATCCGTGGATGATAGCGTTTCTGAACGGGACCAGCGCGGTCAAGCTGAGCTGTTCGAGGGACTCGGTGATTGTGGGAACGTCGTTCTGAGAGCCAAGAAACTCCAGATTGCCGTACGATGGGAAATGTTTGCCGCACGTCACTAGCCCGCCCGCCTGGTAGCCCTTCAGATACTCCACGCCATACTGCGATACCTCATGGGGGTCATCCCCCGTGGTCCGGACGCCCAGAGGTTGACTCCTTACGTTGGTCAAGACGTCTAGCACGGGGCCCAAGATCCAATTGACCCCTACTGCTTTGAGCTCCCGGGCGGTGGCCATAGCCACTTCGCGTGCTAAGAGTTTTGACCCCGTGGCGGCGACGCCCATGGCGCTGGGGTACTGTCTGATGTACTGATCATCGTACAGGCTGTTCACGCCGCCATTTTCCTGATCGAGAGCGATCAGGAGAGGGACCAAATGGCCGGCATTTCGGGCGATGGTCTGTAGCTCGAGAACCAGACGTGTTGCATCTTCTGCCGCTGCAGACACATTAGTGTACATTGACCCATGGGGGATGTTGTGACCGCGACCCTAGCGAAGCCACGGACGGGATCACAAGATCAACAGGAGATGGTACATTTCAGGTTTTTGGCAGTTAAGAGGACGGAGCCGACATGGTAGTTCTCAATGAGGGAGCGAATCTGAGGGTTGACCGAGGTTCCATCAAAGCCCATCATAAAGAGCTGCCCCATCTGTCTGTCGAGTTGACATGGTTCCGGGAACGATCAGTGACGGTCATGAATAGCTTCATAGGATGGTAGGACAGGGAAAGAGAATCGGAAGAAAGCATAATCTTCCGGTTGATCTGCATGTTCATATTTGTTGTTTTACTTCTGTTTTTGGGTTTGTTTGTTTTCTCATCCATATTGATAAAAGACAATCGATCACAGAGGAAGAAAGCGAAGAGAGGTAACCATACTGGGTCACAACAACCAAACAAGAACAAAGATAGAATGCAAAGAATGCCAAGACCGAATCTGAAACCTACCTGTCTAGATCTTCCCAGCCAGGGGGTAGCATATCCTCTCTCGGGGACATGAGGGGTGGGGTGGCGCCCTATGTGAGGAATGCCAGTACTCAATTAGACAACAGGTTGCAAGCAAGATCCGGGGGACCCGCAAGGTCCGCGCTTCGGAAGAAGGAGGGGGGATGTGGAGGGGGCGAAAGATGGTGTGGGACAATGTTGCAAACGACGTTGGGAAGCTGACAAGTGCCAGAAACGGCAGGTTACCTAGTGGAAGTTAAGTTTCCTCGAGTCGGGACGCGTGGAGAATTGAAGCGTTACCTTACCAACTACTAGGTCAATACTAATCAATTCAATAAGTCATGAGAGGGGAGAAGGCACAGGATCGGATGGAGTGGGAGATCCTTGCGTGGGCAAATGAAGATGCAGCGGAGAGATGAATCGAGAGGGGAAGGAGGAATTGATGGATCGAAAGAAAGGTGTTGATGATACAAGGAGCAGCTTTCTTCTCCCGAGGATAGTGCACTGTGTTTTCTCAGTACTTTGTTTACTCCGCATGAATATCTCCATCCACCTAATTAGCCTCGATTGGTACTGCTAACCAGTTAGGGATATTAGTGACTATTCATGTTACCAGCAGTAGGTTTGGATCCCAAGAACCATCATGTATACATTGTGTTGTTTAGAACCTCATACAACAGTTCATAGAGAAGTCATAGCTAACCTATTACGATGTACTCCGGATATTCCATAGATCATCATGTCTGTCGGAGATTTGATTTTATCTGGACAGTTCTCTAATGGTAAGATATACTAAGATACCAGTTTCATACCAAACGGGAAGTCCTATACCGTACTGTCTGTATCCGGTCTGTATTCTAGCATACGGTACAGACTAGTTCCGGTTAGGTTGCATGTTCTATCACGGCGTCAATGCTTTTCTCCCCCGGTTTCCCGAATGCAACAACGGTCCTCAAGCGGGGATCCCACAGGAAGGAAACTCGGTACTTCGGTATCATGAGTACCATGAAGGTATTGAAGATGACTCGGTCACACCCCACTTTCCCCAGTTAGGCATAGAGGATCCGTTCGGAAGCTCTGAAGATCCCATTGCGATATGCCACCTTTGACTGTAACATCGGTGGATTCAATGAATGAAACGTTTCTTTGCTTTCCAACCTACCAACCCCACCGTCTGATCTGACTGACCCTCATGACAATGGTCCATTCTTTGATTGCAGTTCGGACCCGGTGATTGGCTGTCCACATTCTGCCAGGTGGGCATTTTCGCCTTCCTCATCATAGTTCGAAGCCCGGTTGCGTCATCCTCCGCGTTGAACCATCATCCCGATGTGACCGGAATATCGAATCTGAAGCACGAGAACACGCAAAGAGAAAGAGAGAGAGAGAGAGAGAGAGAGATGTCTGGGATTCTGTTTTCTGTTCGTTCTAGATAAGTATTGTTGATGTTTAACTGGGCAGTCCCAATAACCCCAATACTGTTGGATCAATGTATGCGGAAAAGGTGCGCGAGATAAGATGAAGATCCGCTCCAGACCGGAAATTACCCAGGAATCCAGAATCCAACAATTATCTCCAAGCGCCACCATAATGGAATTATAGGCATGTGGCGCTGGGGAAGTGGTAGACTAAGGTAGGGTCAGAGTAGTGTAGGCAACATCATCTCGTCACACTCTCCACAGCTGATCCAGAATCGTTTCCTACTACGATTGGGAGCAGAAGAGTAGATATGTAACAAACCCCCGGCGGAGGGGACCGCATCCGGCAATTTTTCTATTCACCTTTAATCGTCCCCGATTTCAGTCTGCCCTCAGCTTCTCTCTATCTTTCTATTTTCTTGTGCTGTACCAGAATACGGCACCATCGACAGACTATTGCGATACTTGTCTTACCTTCCTGCTTCTTTCATCCCTCGCTTGTGTTAGACATCTGTCTATAGGGTCTCGAGTGTTTCGGACCTGTCCTGCCTGACACCCTCCTCTTACTAGCTAGCCGCAGCGGTGCGCTACCAGTGACGTAGTTTCCTCCTCCATCAGCCAACATGTATGTCTTATATCTCCTCTTGCTCGGATTGCTTGTTTGCCAGGATCAAAACAATGAATCTAAACAATGAATTACACTGACACGCGTACCTGTTCCAGGCGGGTCATCATTCGAGAAAATGCCTGGGATGTTTCGGAATATATTGCCGACTATATCATCAGTATGTTGCTCACCTACCCCCAGAAACAAAATGTTCGCATCCTTACACTGAAACCAGGTCGCATCAAATCGTTCATGCCGACGGAGGACCAGCCGTTTGTGCTCGGTCTTCCTACTGGCAGCAGCCCTGAGCTCATCTACAAGTCCTTGGTGCGACGTCATCGGGCTGGTGACATTTCCTTTAAGAATGTCGTAACCTTCAACATGGTACTCACTCCCATTGACTCCCGTTCTCTAATCCATACTGACAGAGATAGGATGAGTATGTCGGTCTTCCCCGTGACCATCCCGAATCGTACCACAGCTTCATGTACAAGAAATTCTTCTCGCATGTCGACATCCCGCCCCAGAACATCAACATCCTCAACGGGAACGCCCCAGACCTCGGCGCCGAGTGCGCGTCTTTTGAGGCGCGCATCGCTCGCTACGGTGGCATCGAGCTGTTCCTGGGCGGAGTCGGCCCCGACGGCCACATCGCATTCAACGAGCCCGGGTCTTCCCTGAGCAGCCGCACTCGCGTCAAAACCCTGGCCTACGACACCATCCTCGCAAACTCCCGGTTCTTCGACAACGACATCGACAAGGTCCCCCGGAGGGCCCTGACAGTCGGTATCCAAACGATCATGGAAGCGCGCGAAGTCGTCATCGTCGCCACAGGCGCCCACAAGGCCTCCGCGCTGGAGAAAGGTCTCGAAGGCGGCGTGAACCACATGTGGACGCTCTCGGCGCTGCAACTGCACCAGCACCCGCTCGTCGTCTGTGACCGTGACGCTACCCTCGAACTCAAGGTCAAAACCGTCCGCTACTTCGAGTCGATCGAACAGTCGGGCACAGACGCGCGGACTCAGGGCCCGCCGCTCGTCTATCGCCCCAGAACATACATTCCCTCCCCGATGGGAGTCCGACAACAGCGTACGCCGACGGGGACACCGACGAAGATTCCCAAGGACCTGCGAATCAACACACAGCTGAACCAGACTGTGGAGGACGACGAGCTGACTCCTGATAGCATGTCCTCCCGGATGGTCGATTCGGCTATTAGTGGGCTGGACACGGCTATGAAGGGTGATCTTATGCTTGATCGGATGGGTGCTCGGGTTATTTCTCATTGAGCGGATTTCTTCTTCTTTTTTTCTGTTCCTATCTCGTTTCTTCTTTCTTTTCTGTCTGTTTTGGGAATCTACTGGTATATTCCCCTGGTTGTATCGGGTGTCTATTCCCCACACTATATAGATGGCGAGTTTGGTTGATGTTTTTATTAGCATGTTCTCTGTCCTTCTTATGTCTTGGTTTTCTCTGTTTTTGTTCTTTTTTTTGCTCTTTTTTTGCATGATGAAATAGGTGGAAGCAAAATCAAATATGGAAATGGTGGCATGATCTACATCAACAATGTTTTTGTTGAGATTACCACTACATTGTAAATAAAACATTGGTTGGCATTTTAAGCCTTCTCCAACAGTTAAGAGTGACCATTTAGAAATCAAGAGGAGGTATGTCCCTCCATGTATGTCCTATTCATGTTAATGTAATCATGGTATCATTTTCTAACATATACATACACCTGGTACCTTTAACTAACTGTGAACCTCCCGACTCAAACCAGTTACCAAGTCTTTCTCACACGCCTGTACAGAGGTTTTTAAAGCTTCGCAAAAACAGACGCCATCCCCCCACTCATATCAACATAAGTGCTCTTATTCTTAACCCAAGCCTCGATACCCTTGCGGCCATTCTCAACGCCCACACCGCTCTTCTTCCACCCCCCGACGGCCATCTCAGCCGGGCTGTCGCCCCAGGTGTTGATCCAGGTGATGCCGGCCTCGAGCTGGTCGATGACCTGGTGAGCCATGTTGAGGTCCTGGGTGAAGACGCCGGCGGCGAGGCCGAGCTCGGTGGTGTTCGCGCGGCGCACGGCTTCCTCGACGGTCTCATAGTAGAGGATGGACATGACGGGACCGAAGATCTCCTCTTTGACGATCTTCATGTCGTCCGTGCAGTCTGTGAAGACGGTGGGACGCACCCAGAAGCCATTTTGCAGGTCAGCTGGGACGGCGGGCTTGCCGGGACCGCCGTAGAGGAGCTTGGCTTTGTCGGATTCGATGCCGTGGCGGATGTATGCGGTTACTTTGTCGAGGTGGGCTGCCGAGCTGAGGGGGCCCATGTTGGTTGCGTCGTCGAAGAGGGGACCGGGGCGGATGTGTTGCATTTTGTCGAGGAGGGACTTTTCGAAGGCGTTCTTCATGGAGGACGGGACGAAGACGCGGGTGCCGTTTGTGCAGACTTGGCCGGTGCTGTAGAAGTTTGCCATCATGGCGCCGTTGACGGCGTTTTCGAGATCCGCGTCGGGGAGCACGAGGAGGGGGCTCTTGCCGCCAAGCTCCATGGTCACGTATTTCATGTTGCCTGCGGCCGCGCCGGCCACCTTCATGCCGGTGGATACCTGGCCGGTGAAGGAGACCTTGGCGATGGTGGGGTGCGTGGTCAGGTGCGCCCCGACGTCGCCGGCGCCGTAGATGACGTTGAACACGCCGTCGGGGAGTCCGGCTTCGCGGTAGATTTCGGCCAGGGTCTGGGCGTGCAGCGGGGTGTACTCGCTCGGTTTGTAGACCATGGTGTTTCCGGCGGCGAGACAGGGGGCGGATTTCCAGAGGGCACTGTTTTAGTTAGCCAGACCATATTTGTTACTGAGCCAACGACATCTGGCACGTAGACAGAAGGATGATTTTTTTTTTAAAAAAACGCCATGCCAGCAAAAAGGGCGCAGAATGAAGAAAGTGGAGGGACATACATCTGGATGGGATAGTTCCACGCGCCAATGCCCGCACATACTCCCAAAGGAGCCTTCTTGGTGAACACCCAAGCGTCCTTTCTCAACTGGGTGGTTTCGCCATTGAGACCGCCCGCGCCAACCAGATTCGCATAGTATTCCAAGACATCCGCGCCGCTCAGCACATCGACCGTGCTGGTCTCCGTATAGGCCTTGCCGGAGTCTAACGTTTCCACGCGGGCGATTTCATCGTTTCGTTCGCGGAGCAAAGTAGCGGCCTTTTGCAGGATGCGCGCCCGGGCGGCCGGGGGAGTCTCGGACCAGGAGGGAAAGGCACGGTTGGCGGCGGCAATGGCCGTATCTACATCGGAATTGGAGGCGACTTGGATCTCGGCCAGCGGGGTTGCGTTGGACGGGTCAAGGGAGAAAAAGGTCTTGCCGGACGAAGCGGGCCGGACTCGACCGTCGTAATAGAGCTGACGGGTTGGGAAAGGGAGTGTAGAAGAAGCCATGGTTGATTTGGACCGGATTCCTAACTGAAGGGAAGACAAAGACAGTCTTTTCAGCATTGTCCTCTTGAGAGAGAGAGAAGAAACCGGGTAGTTCTGGAGTGGAGAAGTATGATACTCACCGCCAACCCATTTTCCCCGTTGTTTGTAAGGGTGGCAATACTTACTTACTGCTCCTCACTGTCTCGGTCTGGGCCGAGAGATCGTCAGTAAAAGAAACAAACGACGATCTAGACTTTCTCTCTATTTCTCTCTCTCTCTCTCTATATTCCAGTGATTCAATCATTCATTCTTTGTGTGTTTCTCACCAGACGTGAAATGCGACGCACATAGTGTACAGTAACATGGACAATGTTGTCGATGATACAACAGGTAACGAGTTCTTCCATCAGGTAATATCATACTACATAGGACTCCATAATGTCTCCAATAACCAATAATTTCCCAGAATGTCTCGGCATTGAATCTCCGATCTTCAACCCACGGCGTTTTACACCATTAAGCGTTGATTCTTCCCTTACTAGTCGGATCCTCGTGCGCTCGTGCCGTGGCGTCCTTTAGCGTCTGTCCTCGTGCGGAGTGACGTCGTCAACAAAGACCGGGGATCCCTCAGAGTATGCGACAGAAGACTCCGCAGTGGATGGCGAAGAAAGACAGAGAAAAGACAAACCTCTCCTATACGGCGCGATTATAACACCTCGGTACCTACCTCCGTAAAGATAAACCAATTCAATAAATCTATCCCCAAAATGGACGTGTTATCTAATAAGAACGTACAGTCCACGGCTCCACGCGGTCCAAGAACCTCATCCATTGGGCCATTTTCGGTCTCCTCTAGGGCGGTGGAGAAATGATTGAAAAAAAAAAAAAAAGAACCCGAAATGGTCTGATGCTTCGGTGGAAATACGGTCATTCAATCACCGCCATTTTCCGGTGGTTTTTTTCTAATACTTTCTTCCTCCTCTTTTGATCCTTCACCATTTCTCATCTGATCCTCTTCCACCCCTCACTTCCCTCTCCTTCTCTTTCGCGCTCCCTTAGTGGACAAAAGGCCTTCATTCAACATGGCTACCACCAACGAGTTCCCCGCGAGCGACGTCAACAGCTACGACTATGTCATCGTCGGCGGTGGCACGGCCGGCTGTGTCATTGCCAGTCGGTTGGCGCAATACTTGCCCAACAAGCGCATCCTGGTCATTGAGGGTGGCCCCAGTGACTTTATGGATGATCGCGTTCTCAACCTCAGGGAGTGGCTCAACCTACTCGGAGGCGAGTTGGACTACGATTATCCCACCGTCGAGCAACCTATGGGTATGTCTTCATTCTTGATCTTTTTGGTGCTACCATTAGTCGGAGAAGGGGATCTCCATCAAGGAAGGTTTCTTATTGTATCTAATTTGTTTTTTAAACTTTGAACAGGCAACAGCCATATCCGCCACTCGCGTGCCAAAGTCCTTGGTGGCTGCTCCAGCCACAACACCCTCATCTCCTTCCGTCCCTTCGAATATGACTGCAAGAGGTGGGAGCAACAGGGTTGCAAGGGCTGGTCCTTTGGGACCTTCACCCGCCTCTTGGACAACCTGCGCAACACCGTCCAGCCCGTGCATGAACGCCACCGCAACCAGTTGTGCAAGGATTGGATCCAGTCTTGCTCGTCCGCCATGAACATTCCCATCATCCCGGATTTCAACAAGGTCATTCGCTCCGAGGGAGAGCTGACCGAGGGCGTTGGTTTCTTCAACGTGTCCTACAACCCGGACGATGGCCGCCGAAGCAGCGCCAGCGTCGCCTACATCCATCCCATCCTGCACGGTGAGGAACGTCGGCCGAATCTGACCATCCTCACCAATGCCTGGGTGTCGCGTGTGAACGTGGAGGGCGATGCCGTGACGGGCGTCGACGTGACCTTGCAGTCGGGTGTGAAGCACACTCTGCGCGCCAAGAAGGAGACCATCCTCTGTGCCGGTGCCGTGGATACCCCGCGACTGATGCTTCTGTCCGGCCTGGGCCCCAAGGATCAACTGACGTCGGTGGGTATCCCGGTGGTCAAGGATCTTCCCGGAGTCGGTGAAAACCTGCTCGACCACCCGGAGACCATCATCATCTGGGAGCTCAACCGCCCGGTTCCCCCCAACCAGACCACGATGGACTCCGACGCTGGCATCTTCCTGCGCCGGGAGGCTCCCAACGCCGCCGGCGATGATGGACGCGCCGCCGATGTCATGATGCACTGCTACCAGATCCCCTTCTGCCTCAACACCGAGCGCCTGGGATACGACACTCCCGTGGACGCCTTCTGCATGACCCCCAACATCCCCCGCCCCCGCTCGCGTGGTCGCATCTACCTGACCTCCGCGGACCCCACGGTGAAGCCGGCGCTGGACTTCCGCTACTTCACCGATCCCGAAGGCTACGATGCCGCCACCATCGTCACCGGGTTCAAGGCCGCCCGCGAGATCGCCAAGCAGTCGCCATTCAAGGACTGGATCAAGCGGGAGGTCGCCCCAGGCCCCAAGGTCCAGACCGACGAGGAGCTGTCCGAGTATGGCCGCCGCGCCGCCCACACGGTCTACCACCCGGCCGGTACCACCAAGATGGGTGACGTGACGAGCGATCCCCTGGCCGTGGTCGACGCACAGTTGAAGGTCCGGGGTCTGAAGAACGTTCGCATCGCCGACGCCGGCGTCTTCCCTGAGATGCCCAGTATCAACCCGATGTTGACCGTGCTGGCCGTCGGTGAGCGGGCAGCCGAGTTGATCGCGGAGGAGGCCGGCTGGAAGCGTGAGCAGCCTCGTCTGTAAAAAAACAACAAACAACAAAAACCCCCCAAAAGAAAAGAAAAGGAAAGAAGAAAAAAGACAATGATTGAAAAGTGAATATTACAAAAAAGGTACCTTATCCATTACTAAAGCTACGGTGACAGTAGCCACGGTAAAGGATATGGACAACCTAGCAATCAGGGAAGGCTTTTTGTACAGGAGTCGATATTTTTTTCCTCTTAAGGATACGTTCCAGCGACTTCAACGTTTTGCCGTTCATGTTCATGAATCATGATAGATATCTTGTATAGAAATTTGCATCGAGTGGATTAGTCAATTTGAGATAAGCTCTTGGATATGCATTGTTTGGTATTTTTTAGTTGTGAGGGAGTAGATGTACAGTGCTTCATCTAGGCATAGACCAGCCTGTGGATGCTTTCAGAAACTGACCGTTGTAAGATACTGATGTTAAAGAGACCTGTATGTTTCCGTCCTGCTTGAATAGGATGGCAACGAGAGAGTAACATGAGGGAGAAAGATAAACAAGTAGATAAATAGATATATAAATAAATAAACAAATAAAGATATATCTTTGTTTACATACATCCATAGTCACCATATAATAAAATACCCAAAGCAGAAACCAACGCTGACCATCATGCGAGACAAGAAATGCACAAGCTAGCTAGAGAAATATCCGAGAGAAGAAAACAAAACAAAAAGAAGTCTAAATACGTTCAAGCATGACAAGGCATCCCCACAGGGGTCTCAGCGCCCCCCTTCTCATTATCGTAGATCTTCGCGCCCCGTTTCCACACTTGGACCACCGTCAGCGTGGGTCCGGAGTAAGAATCCTGCACATCATCCAGCACGACCAGATCCGCATCGGCGCCCTTATCCAGTGTGCCCTTGACGCCCTTCAGGCCGAGCAGACGCGCGGGGACGGCCGTAGCCGAGTTGAGGGCCTCGGCGGTCGAGGCGTTCGTCCAGCGGCGGAAGTTGTTGACACACTCGATGAGGGTTGCGGAACTGCCGGCGATGCGATCGGATCCTTCTAGGGTCAAGCGCGCGCCGGTCTTGACGATGCGCTCGCCGTTGGTCCACTCGTAAACGCCGTCGGGGAGACCGCATAGCTTCATCGCGTCCGTGACGAGCACGAGGCCTTCCGGGTGGGCGTTGTAGGCGATGCGGATGGAGGTGGGATGCAGGTGGATTCCGTCTGCGATGATCCCGTAGTACGGGCGGGGGCGCTCGTTCTGGCCGAGCAGACCGAAGACGCCCGGGTTGCGGTGGTAGAACGGGCGCATGGCGTTGAAGAGGTGGGTGATCATCGTCGCGCCTTCCTTGGTGGCCGCTAGGGCCTGTTCGTACGTCGCGTCGGAGTGGCCAATCGAGAAGATGATATCCTGGGCGGCGACGGCGCCGATGTTGGAGACCATATTGCCGACTTCGGGGGCGGCGGTGATCATCTTCACGGACTTGGTCGGCCCCGTTAGGTTCTCCTTGCCGTAGCAGGCTACCAGGTCGTCCCAGTGGGTGGCTGCGCGCAGGACTTCGGTTTTGTGGCAACCGTTGCGGCCTGGGCTGATGAAGGGCCCTTCGATGTGGGCTCCTAGAGACTCTGCGCCATCTTCTGAGCGGTGCTTGTCTCCGGGTGGTCCTAGAGAGGGGAGGACCTAGGCATGGGGGTCAGAGTAAGTCCTTCGGGGCTATAACTGCGGAGGCTGTGACGACATACCTGGGAGTATACCTCGGGAGTCGAACTGACGATGGTTGGAAGATACGACGTGACGCCGGTTCGGGCGAGGCCCCTGTTGACTGCGCGTAGACCCTCGTCGTACTCCTCCTTGGTGGCACAGGGGACGGAGAAGTCGAAGCCCTGGGCGCCGTTCAGCTGGATGTCTATGAGCCCCGGGGCGAGGATGCGTCCGCCGAGATCGATGACCTCATCTGGGGATAGATGTAGCTCGTAGAATGCCTCCTGGTCGCGAAGGATCTTCCCGGAGAGAGAGTCGATCCAGAGGTCCTGCTCGATCAGCTCGGTGCCCTTGACGATCCGGCAGTTAGTGAACTTGGTGATCCGGGGAGGAGTCGACGCTTTGCCAGGCATGATGGGCGAAGTAGGTCGTTTGATGGATTAGAAGTTCAGTCAGTACCTGGTGAGGGAAGGGGAAGGGGAAGATTTTGGACAGAGGATGAGTCAGGAACAGAAAGCGACACAGAGAGTATATACTAGAAAATATCCGGGGGAGGGGGGGTGGTCGCGTCGTTCTGGAGGCAAAATGGAGAGAGATCGACAATGGTCCTCAACTCCACGAGGCGTTTATTGTTCTGACGTTGACGTTGCTTTCATCCTTAGGAATGTCACGTAGGGAAAGGAATACAATGATTGGACTCATCGTATTTTGGCAGGCAAAGGTCGTATGGAATTCAGACCCGGGTTTTCCACGGAATGCCATCTCATCGAGGGGAATGTTATCTGTTGACTGACTCCACCCATCATCGCAACAATGGGACCAACGCCGGTGACGTTATAAATGACCGCTGACATCTATTACTACAGAGAACGGAAGCAAAACCGGAGTATACCGGATCATACCATACCGTACATACCATACATACCATACCACAATACCACACAATACTTTCTTCCCCTCGTTCTCTTCTCTCTCTCCTCTTTCTTTCTCCACTCTCCCCCATTCATGCATCAAATTGGCCAAATCAGATGGAATTATGTGACTAAACCAGCCTAATTAGCGTACTTCCAAAACAGCATCGGCAAAGTATTAACAACAGGAAAACGCCAAGCTCCTCTCCACTCGTGAAAGAAAGGATACTACCTCGCAGCCACCGTGCCAGTTAAACTTGTTCCGGAACTCCTCCGCATTCGGCCACACTGGATGGTTACAGGCCGTCGATGTCACCGTCTCTTTGAGTCGGCTCTGGATGTGGATGCGTGAATCCTATTATGATTCCTTTCTCATCAACCTGTCTGGATTGTTAGGTTCGGCGAGGATTAGCTATGGATGTTTGGCCATTCTTTGGATTCCTGCCACCAATCAGGATCCCAAGGAACTATGCCGCGAGTGTATATTCAATCCTCGGCGTCATGAAGAAAAGCAGCCGATAAGATCCTCAAATGAAAAGAGGGGCGCTTTTGATCCAATCTAGCCTATTTGAGCTCAACATGACTGTCTCGTGGGGTCTGGTTTGAGCGTGAAAGCTCTCTCCTCATCCGGAATTATATGCTCGAACTGTGCGGATTTTGCATCTACTCTGTCTTATTTTCTCTTGTGCCTTTATCCTTCTTCTGCGTTTCTTCTTCTTCTTCTTCTGCTTTGCTTTGCTTTCTTCTCCCTTGTCTCTTCGACTTCTCGATCTGCTTTTGCCTAATCGGTACGTCTCCGGAATCTACTTTCCACTGCCTACCGGGGTCTGGAGTCAACCCCATGGGTGGTGTGGATCAACATCCCGGCTCCTCGCGTTCCTATTGAACTACCGTGGAATCGTACGTTGGGTGTTGCAACTTAGGCCCCTCGGAGAGGTGGGTCGACCGGGGTTAGAGCCTATAGACGCCTACCCCAGCCAGGACGCAACCCTCCCCAAGACCCAAAGATAAGGAAAGTTTGTCTGTGGCGCTCGCCTTATCTCTTTGCGATTGCTTGTTCCCGTCCTCGAGCACTTGACTGCTGTAGTACTTGGGAGGGATCCACCCGTGACTCCATTGACTGGCTGGATGCTACTTCTCCTTGCTGATTGCTACTTTCTCCTCCTCTCCCAAAGTTTCAACCCTCGATGCGTGAGCTGATTGTTCCAGAGGGGGGAGAACAAGGAAGAAAGGACAGAGAATAGAACTACGGATTGAGTCTATCCACCAGACGTCATATCGGAGCGTTGACTTTCCTTTTCACTATTTGTTTCGCGTTATCCCCCACCTCCCCCCTCCCCCTTGTCTTACCCCGGATTTTTATTCCCGGTGTACAACGGAACAAACATTCCAGTGGTTGATACCCTTACTTCACCTTCTGCACGATTCTTGTCGACGGTGGTGCCCTAGTGTCATCCGGTCGGGGTTGTCAATTTAAAATATCTTCCCGCCCCTTCTTCATTTGAATTCAGAACTCCCCTTAAAACTCCCACGCCATGGCGAACTCGGTCAGCGATGATGATCCACGATCGGAAAAGGGAACTGGAAGTCCCACAAACACGTCCGATGTCGAGACGGGTGGACAGGACAGCTCGGTCACCGGAAAGCCGTGGATGTACAAGCCAATCAAGCTCGGCCCCTGGACATTCCCGTGGTTCGCTTCCCCCGAAACCCAATTGATCCTGGTCTCCTTCGTTTGCTTCCTCTGCCCAGGAATGTTCAATGCCGTCAGTGGCCTGGGAGGTGCCGGCCAGCTCGACAAGACTGATGTGAACAACGCCAACACGGCCCTGTATAGCACCTTTGCCGTAGTGGGCTTTTTTGCCGGTTCCATTGCCAACCGCATCGGCCTCCGCATGACCCTCTCCATCGGCGGGTTCGGCTACTTTCTCTATGTGGCGGCGCTTCTGTCTTATAACCACAACAAAAATGACGGCTTTTTGATTTTTGCTGGTGCACTCCTGGGTGTCTGCGGGGGTCTGTTGTGGTGTGCTCAGGGGGCGGTCATGATGAGTTACCCGACCGAGCAGGAAAAGGGGAAGTTCATCTCTGTTTTCTGGGTCATTTTCAACCTAGGCGGCGTGATTGGAAGTCTAGTCCCTCTGGGCCAGAACCTGCACTCCAACACCGGTACCGTCAATGATGGTACTTACATCGCCTTCTTGGTCCTCATGGCCATAGGGTTTGTCCTTGCCTGGGTCCTATCGGATTCCAAGTACATCAAGCGCAAAGATGGATCGCGTGTCATCGTCATGAAGAATCCTACCTGGAAGTCCGAGTTGCTGGGTCTTTATGAAACCCTGCGCTCCGACTACTACATCGTGCTGTTGTTTCCGATGTTTCTGGCTAGCAACTGGTTCTATGCGTACCATTTCAATAGCGTCAATGGCGCTTACTTCGACATTCGCACACGCTCTCTGAACAGTCTTCTCTACTGGTTGATGCAAATGGTCGGTGCGCTGTTCTTCGGCCAAACTCTGGATCTGAAGTGGCTGTCGCGTCCCAATCGAGCCAAACTCAACCTCTTCCTTCTCCTTGCTATCACCATGGGCACCTGGGGGGGCGGGTATGCCTTCCAGAAGGGCTATACCCGCGAGACGGTTGAGGCCACGAAGGACTGGACCGACAGCGGTTTCGTCGGACCCATGTTCCTTTACATATTCTACGGTTTTTACGACGCTGCCTTTCAGACATGCACATACTGGTCAGTGTCCACATCCTCTCGTCTAGCCCGCATACTAATATGCTCGTAGGTTTATGGGATCCCTCAGCAACAACGGTCGCAAGCTAGCCAATTTCGCAGGTTTTTACAAAGGCATCCAGTCCGCTGGAGCGGCAGGAATGTGGCGGTACGTCCTAGACAATTACCACACAATCTCGAGAGATGAGCAATTTGCTAACAATCTAATTCCACAGCATGGACGCCCAGGGCGCACCATTCATGACAGAGTTCGCCTCCTGCTGGGGCCTCCTCGTCGGCAGCCTCCTAATCGCATCCCCGGTCATCCTGTTCAAAATCAAAGATCACACGGACGTCGAAGACGACCTCAAATTCTCCGACGAGGCCCCGCAGGACGTTGTCGGGAGCGATATCGCCCTGGAGGATCAAGAACCTGCCGTGAAGAAGGACGAGAAACGCATATCCGTCACGCAGTGAATGTTTCTTTTCAACGACTTTGCTTTCTTTGCAATGAGTGTTCCCGCATGCGTGACTTGATCCATATTGTCATTTCTATGTTTAACATCAAGAAAAGGAAGCCTTGTACATCAGTGAAAGAAGGGTGGGTGGTATGTATGCATGCGGAGTCAGTCCCTTTGTACATAATCCGATTTCACATAATCACGCGTTGTGCATCTCTGGCCGTCTGCGACGGGCATGAGGTGGGAAGTTACGATTAATCAATACATAATATTGCGAGTGTGTCATCTTTCAACCATTGTAAACTGTAATTTATATACATGTGACCGCGTAGCGTACTCCATTATCTGTATTAGTAGTAGGTAGAACGGGACTTGGGATCGCTGAGGTTGATGGAGGTTGAAGATTTCTTTTCTATCTGCTTTCCCGCTTTGTCTGGGGTAATGAACGCCTCGATGCATCAGGACATTAGCCAGCCATGTCATTACATTGACACTGCGCCGACGGCGTCATTCGCAGCCCCTGAACGGATAACAAAGACGTCATAAACGGGGAAAAGGCTCAAACACGAGCACTAGAAGTCGCCGGAGGCAGCGGCACAAACGACTCGGTGTGCGTCGCCCTCGCCGTCCCGTTCGTCTTATAGCCGCCCCAAATAGGGGTCGTACCCTGGGCGATGTCCCACCCAAAGAGCGTCCGGTTGAAGAGCTGCAGCGAAGCAGCCGGCTGATAGTAGGGCACTTCATGGCCCGCCTGGTAGACACGGGTGAAAGAGAAGTTGCCGTACTCGCGGGTCTCGCCGAACTCGACGCCGTCGACGAGGAGGGGCGCGTAGCCAGCTTTGCGGAAGTCGGCGCTGTGGGTGTAGTTCATGGCGAGGGAGACGGCCTCGCCACCGAACCAGTTGCAGATGTAGTCTGCGTCGCCGTAGATGAGGGAGATGCGGACGGGGAGGCGGAGGAGTTCTTCGAGGTCGTCGATGAAGTTGGGCCAGACGAAGTCGCCGGTTTGTTGGAAGGCGTAGAAGACTTCGTTGTTGGATTGGGTGTAGTTGATGTTGACGCCGATGGCGTTCATGACGGCGTCTTTTTTGAGGTAGTCTTCGTAGTAGGGGGGTGGGGTTGGATCCTGTGTGATAATCCTTGTTAGGGGATGTGTGAATGGTGAACTGTCTGGGGGTTTGAAGCTTACATCGGCTGGGTGGCGGATGTCGTAGACACCGCGGCCACTGTATTGGTAGTAGGGGGTCTCTGTGGACTTGGTCAGTCTTGTTTTTCTTTTTCTTTCTCCCCCTCTCGGGGTCTGTTTCCGTGCGTCCATATGTATGTCTTGGGAGAAGGATAAACTCACCAACATTATCCCTGCACATGTTGGTAGCCTCCGCGCAGATAGCAAAGTCCCCCAGCGAAGTTCTGTTCGTCGCTTTACAAGCGGCCACTTGATCCTGGCATCCATTGAGCATTCCATTCGCGAACTTCATGTAGTTATACACGGTATCGTTCAACTTTATCACATGTCAGTACTGTCTAGCGGAACTTGCATGTAACCAAGACAAGGTAACTCACAGCCTTGATGCCGTAGGTGTTCTTGTTCGCAAATTCCGGATAGTGAGGGGCCTGCATATATCAGTACCAGTGGCAAACATCTAGCTGGCCGAGGGGTCTCACCTGGATGGCTTCGTCGATAATGCCATTTATAATCCCCAGGGAGTTGAATTCGAGGTGGATGCCGTCCACGACTCCCTTGGCAATTTTCTCATTTTGCTCACGGAAATGGTTGAAGAACTGCGCTGTTAGATTTGGGTCCTGAATGGTTGGACGGATATCTGCTCACTGCTGGTCCATAGTGCCTGAGAAACATAGTTGGATTAGCCAGTAGCCCCGTGCTTTGGTAATGCTGGACACTCACCCTCCATAGCTTTCCGTCCACAGACTGAACTCCTTGGACTTGATCTTGGAGTCCAACTGAGGCAAGCCGCCCAGGAAGCCCTGCAGTACTTCCCATGTGGCATGGGCCGCGAGATCGGTTGTAGCTATCGCTCGTTAGGGCCCAGTCTTCCTCTCCAGGGTTGAAGTAATTACAAATCTTCGTGGCATTGATGATCGGATAGCGGCCCTTGATTCCATCGAACTCCTCGTTCTCAACGACCCCTGTAAACGGGTTCAGGGATCCAGCCTCTGTGTCACTGTACGAAAAGCCTACGGTGCTTCGTTAATACGCTTGGAATCAACAGGGGCTGGAGTACTAACCAACGCCTACTGGCTGCGACAAAAACAGCATGTTGGAGACTTCGCTCCACGAGTGGGGATTGACATAGGACTCAATCTTCTCATTAATCTGGCAGGGGCCCAGCTCTGATATCAAGAGTCAGTATTTCTGTCGTAAGCCACAGCTATCGCGACACGTACCTTGAAATAAGCCGATCAACGAGTCGCTTCCCGGACCGCCATTCAGCCACAGTGTGATAGGAGCATTTTCAGGATCATGGCGAGCTTCAAAGAACCAGAAGAAAGTATGCGAATCGGGCGACAGATCGACGTAACCCGAGTACGATTTCACGCCGGGCGTGGTCTCGCAGACCCCGTCCTTGCCCGGCTCCTTGTATCGAATTGTGACATTGTTGGGCGTCTGGATCGATTTCACACCGGTGGGATCTTCGGGCAACTGGCGTCCCAAAAGCGACGACGGTCTTCCAGCTGGAGAGGCCCAGCCGGCGGCGGCCAATGGCAGCAGAGACAGTAATTGGGAAGCGCGCATGGCTTCAGGGGACAGTAAGCAGCGAGGTTCTGCTTTCTAACTACCGTGATAAGCACTGACCCACTGGTTCTAAACCAGGGGCAAGAGAGGACTTTATAACTACTCAATTCTCTTTGTCCTACGACGTTTCACCCCCCCAGCCGACGCGAGGTGGGGGAAACACCTTACATGGTCAATTCTTCGACGGCACGCATGCCGACGGATCTTTGCGCAGGTCGCACGATAGCAAGGTAACATTGGCGCAATCATAATCCCTGACCTGAGGGGTTGTCGAGGTCCGGGCCCCAACGACGATGATCCATCCCTATCGTGTCCGTCCCATGGAGTCTTACTCAGTCGGAAGGTTAGCACTATAAGTGTGGAGAGAGACTAGTGCGTCGTACGCATCAGCACCCTGTCTCCCGGGATAGTGTCTGGTTCTGATCAAATCAGATGGCCGGACTGCGTTGGTATATTGCGCAGCGCTATTGTTAGGCGGGCCACTTGGTAGGGGGTAGCACGGGCGGAGATTGTTAGCACTCTGACTCAGGGATGAGGGTGAAGGTTTGATTTGGAACTGGAAGGGCAACACAGATGTTGAATAGACCCATACACTGTTTGATCGTGGAGAGTGATGGAACGGTTCCCCACATGCGGAGTTGTGTGTGGGGAGAAGAGAGAGGAGGAAAGTGAGGAGAACAGATGAGGACGAGGTCATGGGTGAGACACGGAGAGGAGAGAACTCACGTTGAGCCAAGGCGTTTCCTCCCCTGTCCAAAACAAACATCCACTTGCTTAGCTGTATGTCTTAGTGTTTATCTGCAAGGCTATCCAATACTTTTGTCTTCGTCTGTCCTCGTGCTCGGTCACTTTATGCAAACAAAGTACCTCTCATCATCATTTAGCCTTTATGGCTTGGGTAGCAACTGTTAAGATGCTTGTTTGACCTTGGCCCAGCCGAGAAGAACAAGCCTCCGAAGTTACTCCACGACTATCAATCTAGAGGCTCATTCCTCCTGTTGGCCATCTGAACCTGTCACAGCAGTCTCTCCAAGGATGACGGAATCTCCGTCGTATTGACCGGAAAACTGCTACACTCTGGATCACAACCTTCATGCTTCTATAGTAAGCGACCTACGAGCAGGGCATCACGAAATTAACCGCTTCGACCTTGACGTTGGCTGTTCAACAACGTTGACTGCGACTGTTGTTGCAGCCTCCCACAACCATCCAATAATTGATTGTCGTGCAATTATTCTGGATCTCTCTCTCTCTCAAAAGGACCTAGCTCTGCCATTCCCGTCACCTTGCCATAGAATATACACACATCCGTTGATCCAATTCTTATATACTGTTCCTCTCTTCTGTGAAAATGGGGGAAATAAGTCATATCAAAGTCGTTTATATTCTTCATCTCATGATTGATTCCTTTTTTTGGTGATATCACCATACCATCTATATACATGACCGCCGTTGCCCGTTAACTAACCATACAGTTAGAAATTAACAGAGAATAGGCCATCCCAGAAAATAACAAAACACAAAAGGTTTTTTCTCAGAAAATAGAAAAAAAAATAAACAAAGTCATAAGCTTTCCTAATTCATGTCCTTGCCCTTTTTTTCTTGGATTCGCGATTGCTGTTTGCAATGGAATAAAAGTGAGATGAAAATGAAAAAAAAAAAAAAAAGTATAACAGTCGCCTGGTAATACAATATGATATAGTGTAGTGTCACAAGAAGATAAAAAAAAAGAAAATGGAATGAAAATCGTGGCTTTCAGGGCGTTACAGGTTGAGTCCCAGATCGGTGTCCAGGTCGGTGGTGAGACCGTTGCCCTCCGGTTGTGGTGCGGCCTCGCGGGCGACGCCTAATGTGGATGCCGGGCGGTCGCCTCCCAATGGCGTTTTGTTGTTGTTGGTCTCTGGGTCGAAGCCCATCATGCCGGGGACGTTGTTCATAGATGCCAGTCCGAACCCGTTCAACCCCTTGGTGGTCGGGTTGTTGCCGCCCTGGTGGTCGTCGGCCGAGAAGAAGTCGGCGCCAGCGTCGTCGAAGTTGATCAACGCGTCGAAATCGTTCTGCGTTACCTCCGCGTCGTTGGCCAGGTCCATGAGTTCGCTGAGGCTCAGTTCGGAGTCCAGGTTGGGGATGCTCAAGGCGTCTTGGTGGTAGCTGGGGTTGAGATTGTTGGTGCTCCCGTTCTCGCTGCCGTCGGACGGGGGTGGTGTCGAGGCGAACAAGGCCGGAGGGCCCTCTTCGGCGAGGCGGCCGGCAACACCGGTACCGGTGGGCTTGGGATAGGTAAGGTCCGGGATCTTCTGGGCGAGGGAGTCGGGTGGTGGGGTGAGGGTGCTGAGGCGCGACCGCGGATCGGGGTGGTGGCTCGCGCGCGCCTGCATGTCCTGAGGCGAGACGGTGAGTTGGATGCCGGCCTTGCGGATGGCCGCTTCCAGGAAGGAGGTGGCGAAGTCGGCGGAGGCGTAGATTTCGCGCAGGCGCTGGAGGATGCGCATGCACTGGTAGAAGCGCTGAAGGCTCGTCATGC